GCAGGATGCAATGGCCCTGCCTTGCGAGGGTGATGTCCATGTTCGCACCCTTGTGAAAGTGTTGGGACGTGAGCGGTCAGGGGTCCCAAGAGGGTGCAACCAGCGGCGCCGATGGATTCTGCCTTGCGAATCGGTCGGCCCGAATCTCGTTTCGCCGGTCCTGCCAGTCCAAGTAGCTGCAGCGCTGCAGACTCCGCCGTTGGTCGTGCGTTGCAGCTGGATTCAGGCGGGAACGGAAGGTCGATTTAGTCCCCTGTTGTTCCGAGAGCTGACCATCGTCGGAGCCAAATTTAGTAACCTTCAGGGACAGTGACAGAGGGTTGACGGGGATGACTGATATGGAACGGTCTCGATCCTGCGGCTCCTACCTCTCGGCGATGGAATTGTTTGCAGGACGACTTGTCCGACCTCAGCTCAAAGTCCCTTGCTGCTGGGTATCTGGTTGACGCGCCGCGAGAGGGCAACTGCCCCCCTCAATAAATAGGGAAGGCTTCCCACCTCAGCTTTCCTCTCCCCCTTTCTCATACCTTTAGTACAGACTACGCACGCATCTGGTCTCCAAACATCATGGCCGCTCCCCTGAAGTTCAAACCATATGTTCCCTGCCGCAAAGGCAGCGAAAGAAAAACACCCAGATCTCGCGCCCAGGAACGTCGTCATGATGCCACGTTACTAGAAACTTGCGGCGAAGGCCAATATTCACAGCATAATGCAGAAGGCTTGTTGACGATGAACGGTATGCCGCTGAAGGAAATCGTACTGGAGATAAATTCCTGCTGACATTTCAAAGACCAGGAAGTCGTGATGGCACTCGATTGGTCCGGCCACAATTGGTCCGACGACATGCAGTTTGTCTCGCACCCCATGGACAGGTGTTATGCTTCCAATTCTGGTGGCGAAGAAGTCGACGAACACTTCGGCAGTGCGTTGAAGCCTGTGGCGGCTCAGCTTGCAGCGGACAATCCTCAGGCAATATCAGGTAGTCACCACCTGCCACACTGACACTGTTCATTTCGCGGGACTGACAGAATTTTATTCAGGTTCCATCGTACGGGTGGAAGATATCCAGGAGGGGGATAGCAAGGCCACTGAGAAGTCTCCAACGCTGATAGACCCAGCCGCTCCGGCAGCGGTGATGGGCCCTACGGTAGATGTTGCCGATGACAATTTGATCCAGACAGCGTTGACCTGGCCCAAAGCCGGTACTGCCAAGCAGTCGGTGGATCTTTCAAGGCTCGGTATGGACCAACTCAGAGGTCCTCACTACTCCTCCCCTCTTTCCTCGCCGGGCTCGAGCGCATCTGCTCCTGCACCCGCCAATGCTGAGAGCCTCTCTCTGAAGAGCCCCCTTGATGACGATGCGGGCTTTCAGCATTGGCTGAATGAAGGTCAACAGCACGTCATCGCACCGATATCCAACAGGACGAAGCGATTACTGGGGGACAGCCATCATGGCAGTGGCGCTGATGATCAACAGGAAACAAAACGTTTAAGGTTATCCTCCGCGGCTGAACCTCGCACTTTGCTGCATCAACCAGGTGTTTTCGATATTGCCTCGATCCCAGTCGACGATGGGATTCATTCTCAAGACCAGGGCCTCGACTATTGGAGACTCGTCGCATCAATGGCAGTCACGACGACAATCTCGATGACAATCGATTGGCTGTGAGGGCACTTGCCCGCTATCCCACGAGCGGCTCCCATCCAACCGCGGCTCATCAGGGCGGCCTTATCAGTTCTCCTGCAAGCTTTGGCTCTGACCCTATTGCTTCTCTTCTGCCACGACGAGTCAACCTCCCCTAGACGGCACACAGCGGTCGCTGCAAAATGGGCCCCATTCCGCAATATCGTTCCGTGGAACGCAAGAGATGGAACAATCTGGACAATGTAAATCATGCGCGATTTTTCGTGCAGCTCTCTTTGAAGCACTGTCCTTACTATCCAACCCATTCCCTAAGGATGTTTCGGGCAAGGCAAGGCATAGCCAACCCGTGAGCAACACCCTGAAGCGGCATTACAACTTGCGCGGAAGGTCTACGGCTCCAGAGAGCAGTCGCAGAGTACCTGCCAACGCAGAGTCTCTGAGTCCTATCGACGAGAATCGCAATGGGAGTGATGATAGAATTTCTGGTAGCGACGACGAGGACGATCCTCTAATCGTCAATAGCGGTAAAAGGGAGGTGCTTGCCAAGCGCCGCCGGTGGTCAGCGCTAGAGGAACGTCGGCTAAGAGCATGGAAGAGGGAGAACAAGTCGGAGTCCTGGATCGCTTCCAAGCTCAATCGGACGGTGTCGGCGGTCAAACAACAGTGGCGCAAAATGAGTGAGGAATAATAGTGTACCGCATCTGTAACTGTTGGTGAAATGTTATGTCAATACACATCGGAATAAGGAGGTCACACAGCTAGGTTCAAGATGCATGTTCTATTTCTAAAGGGCAGTCTGAAGGGCTATTTATACACGAGGTCTTAGGGACTTCTGGGACCTCCTGAGTAAGGTGCTCTACCCACACATACGTGGCTGTGCCCACGCATAAAGGGGTAGCCTTCCTTACTCATGAAGTCCCCATGCGTTCCTAATACATAGGCCAGGAATCCCTTCTCCAGGTCCATCCCTATCGGGGCTACCCCAGTCCACCGACAGTAACTATTGAGGGCCAACTCGCTCCTCCTACTTACGGCATGATGGATAACATGGACAAATATTCATAGGGCGAACCAAGTAGTATTTTATATAGCTACTTCAAGCACGCTCCTATCTTACCTCTTCCCGACAAAGCCGTCGTGCAGCCAATCCCGAGCACGAAAAGAGCTGGCAGCGAGAATCCCTCGAAGCTTCAGCATCATCCTTCGATATATCTCACCTACACAACACAGCAACCAGAATCTACCCCATGGACCTCGGAAATTCACCTGCACATGCATTTTCCTGAGCACAGCCTGGGCTCCCTCGAAGCACCCTGAGCCGCCCTGAGCCGATCCTGAGCCGCCCTGGGCTGCCCTGATGACCTGAGCTGCCCTGAGCTGCCCTGAGCTGCCGGAATACCGCCTGAGGCCCTGGGCTGCCCTGAGTTGCCGGTAAACAGCGACAGGCTTTACCCAGCTTGCGTGCAGGGTATCGACTAAACCATTTATGACTAAGTTGCCACCATTTCTAGGACACTGATTTCACTCGTTCCCACGCCCAGTGCTGAGCGGCTGAACATTATGCTGCATGTTTGTCCGAGTTGGCGATACATAGAAGACCCATGGCTTACCCCGCCTATCGAGCTTGCCAAGCTGCCGTACAGTACAGTAGTATAAGGTTTATAACATACACCGAAAACTTTTGTGCGCCAGCTTTACGTGTTAGGGCTTTGTGAAATACACTCGTTTCAGTTCGGGCTCCGTCACCACCGGCTATTGTTTTATTTGGTATCATTCGTGCCCTCCGCAAATGCCAAAGATTCCCGATGCAAGCTTTCTACCATGTCCAGATCACACAAACACTTTGCTTTAAGATACGAAATTGCAACTTGACACATTGAGGGCAGAATCACCCATAGCCTGTGCGACGCGTTGGGTGCATGACCTCAATCATGTTACCATACTTGCGCTTTGGCAAAGCTTGCTGTCCCGTGTTTCTCACGGACACTATTTAGACCTTCTGCTGATGCTATGGTCGCCGCCCTGCCGTCTAAACCGTTCACCAAGAAGTCGCTTCTTTGCATAGCGTCTAATGAGGCTAGGTGATAACTAATCATAACCTCAGTCCAGGATCTGTAATGTTCTGAGCCCCAGTTCTCATTGGGCGGAATCATTCATACATACTGATCGATATGCTAGGGACGGCTCTATTCAGACGCACACCTTGGCCGTCTCACGAGACGTGCATAAAGTGCTCGTATGTACAAAGAGCCCTCCCAGCCCAGCATCAAAATTTCGCTCTCATTTGCCTCCAAGCGGAGTCCACATATCTACATGATCCTTAACTGACTTTACTTTTGAAGCTGGATCCTTTCTCCTCGCGGTAGCGAACCAGGCTAAAGGGAAATATGCACATTAACATTGAAAGCCAGTTCGGACAACACAAGAGCACGTTGGCGCTCAATTTGGATCGGGGAGTTCGCGGCGGCTGGGTTGCCGGGGCCTGGTGTGTGTTTACTGTACTCACAGAATTGTCGCTCAAGGTTGCAGCATCGCTGACCGGAGACCATCATCCTGGCGCGGGGCGCAGCAAACGGCGCCTATCAATTCTCCTTCCTCGATAGAACACCGGAGCTACGCTACTGTATCATGCCCAAATACGTCCTAGGTGTGCAGCCATATTATCCCTGCAGCATAATATCTTTCGGAACGAGGGCTAGGGGACGTAGAAGTGCATTTTGGCTGCAGTGTCGCGACTTGCAGAACGAGGACATCTAAGCTGCCTGGGTGTGGCAACCATCCCACGAGTGAGGTGAGATGCAGGAGCGTGTCACGCTGCAATACATACTAGGGGGGCCTCAAAGTCCGCCAATCCCCGTGACTGTGGATGGCCGACTTTGAGGCCCCCGTATTACAGTACTGTACTGCAGAGGAGCACTCATCTCGACAAAAGGTGGTACGAAGCTGAAGCATGCTGTGACTTGTAGAGCAATGGCAACCCTTGTAAGCAGCACGTCTCCCTGCAGTAGATAGAAGCGACTACTAACCTTAGTAAATGTACCATCCAGTTCAAAATGCGCTACGTCTCCTCACTCTCCTGGCAGAGACGCGTAAAATGACGATCATTTCTGTCGGCCTCGACAAAGGCACTTTCCGGCTCTATTTGCGTGCTTCTTGACGCAGGCATCGGCTCCGAACGCTGATGAACATTTCCATGCCGCAGACTGATTTCTCTCTTGTCAGCCTTGGCAAGGTCCTAGTTAGAAGCGGTTGTCGCGGAACGCCGGAACGCATCTCCTACACAGCGGAGGCCCGTAGCCTCCTCCCCGCAAATCACCTCGGGGAGAGAAAACGTGGGTCAGAGGAGCAAGCACCCATGCTCCTGCAGGAACAGACTTACATGGCATGGCGAACTGGCAAGGTGCTCAGTCTGACCAGCTTCGATATCAAAGGCGCGTACAACGGGGTCTGCAAAGAGCGAGTGCTGGAGAGGATGAAGCGAGGGGGATACCAGATAGACTGGTGGATTGGATGGATGCGTTCTGCTCCGGGACGGACGGCCTCAGTGGTAGTGAACGGGCACACGTCCGAGCAACGAGTCTTGCCCCAAGCAGGTCTGCCGCAAGGATCACCACTGTCGCCAATTGCGTTCCTGTTCTTCAACGCAGACTTGGTGCAGAGACGCATCAATGCCAAAGGCGGCGTGATCGCGTTGGTGGACGACTACTGTCAGAACCTTGATGAGGTTCTCGTCGGATAGGTCACGGACACAGCAAGAATGGTACGATCGGATGAAGTGAGGTATGATGTGTGTGTCTGTCTGTGTCCCCCATTTGGGGGTGCTCTGCCCAAGCCCTATATCAAAGGGCGATGGCCTCAATCCCTATGACATGCCATCACGTCATATCTCTGTAACTGTCTCATAGATGTCCTCGTGGCCTCATCAGCTGCGCTACCTGGTGCGCTATCGTCTGCGCTACCGTTGGCGCTGCCACTAGTAGCCTGACGCTATCGTAGCTGCATCTACCCGGATTCTACCGGATCTAACAACTACTCACTCAGCCTCGGTGACGGGGCCAACGGCGGAGGCGAACCGAGAGGGCATCCAATCAATCATTGCCGAAGGCTCTAGGGCTGATATTTGAAGAATTTGAAGTCGAATCGGCCTCGGGACCCTTGAATTGAATGAAGCCGAATCGGGTAAGGTCTTCAAATTCGACGAATCAAAAATCAGGAGTCTTCATTCAATTCATTCATGAAAATTTTGAATGAACGGCGGTATGGTCGAAATATGAGGTGAAAAAAAAATTCACCCCGCTTCGTGCCCAAGGGGTTTCGCCCTGCGCGGACATGGTAACTTTCGAATTCGGCCGCGCTTATGGTGCGTGTTTCAGTTGGATTCCACCGTCCACACTCCACTGGCAAAATCCTAGTGTATTGGAAGTGGGGTAGTTAGAGAGTCCATACATGTTGGTATAACAACCCTAACAGAGCCTGATACGCCCCACCGTTTCAGCAATCTTGCCACCCTATACGGAGTATCGGAAACACTTTGAAGCTTATGAACAGTGCCATTTTATAAATGCACCCAATTTGAATGTAGTGCCACTCGAATGTTCTGGATTTTCTCGTTCGGATGATATAACTCTCGATACCTGTGCTTAACATTTGCTCAAAAAATGCCACATCACCCCGAAGGCAATCAATAGATCAGTCATTTTCTAGTTGCAAAACTACACTTCAAACACATATTAATCTCGGCAGTCCATATTTTTGATATATAATACAATACTTATACCATTAAACAGCCCCCAGCTAGCTGATTCGAAAAACGCGTTCAGATCCCTCAACATCTCAATATTGCGCGAACAATTTGAAGTGACACGATTTGCGTCATCTCGCGATTTGGAGCCTGTTAGGGACTTATCTACTCCTCGAGCCCAATATGACTGCTACTTGATTGTCCACACAAATTAGCACGATCAGAAAGTACCGGAAACGTCCGCATGATAAGGATATATTGTGCCAACTAACCGCGATTAGACGCGTTATTCGCGCTCAATTGACCACCTGTTAATTCTACTGCTGTCCGAAAGACACGGTCGTCAGCCCATCCCACCCTTTTGCCTGCATGGCGCAACGGTCTTCGCGACAACTGCCACGACATTATTTTATCACGACCTCGCCTAATTCCCGCTTCGATATTTCCGACAGCGGCTTCGGGTCGGCCCCCGAATCAACGCCCTGCCCGACGACCGATCCTACCCGTTCAACCTCGACTCCTTCATACTCTATTGCGGTGTATTTGGTGTCGTTCCGACCACCTGTTGTCGCGTCCATTCTCGACCCCTTCAGCCAAGACTAGGTAAAACTTCATTACTCTCCAACCTACCCCTCCTTATTTAACGACTTTACGAGTAGATAGCTAATTATAACATGATACATAGTATGGCCCCTGCTGAATCAAAAACATCTGCCGCAGCGAATTTCTTTGCTCCTAGGACCCGGCGTAAATTGCCAACGCAGAATTATGCCCGCATCGAACGTCCTCAATTCAACCCCCAGAATCCCGCGCCCGCCCGCCCTGATCCTAGCACAACCCCGGCTCCTTCGTCTCGTCCTCCGACTGGCGAAGATACAATTGTCTGCGCGCCCCCGGGCCATCCTGACTGTGAGTCAGATGATGACATGCCCGACGCGGATACACCAGAGCCGCCATTGGACAGTACCGGTAGTCATATGACGCTCGCAGAGAAAGCCGGACTTATCAAGAAGTGGGCCGACAACAAACAGAAGCATGTTCGCAAGAAGAGAGACAAGAACAGCCACGTTTATTGGTACATGCAGAGGGAAGCTATAGACAGAAGCTTTTACTCGGAGTACAAGGATGGACCGGAGATCTTCCAAGAGTTCCGGTGGACCTGCATAGAGTGCCTTCGAAATCCTTCTACTCTTCGGAAGATATTCCAGGTCCTTGAATCGAAACGCCGAGGGGTTACCTCTGGCATGGGAGACCATTTAAAATCCCACAGTATTACGAAGGAGTCTCACCACGCTCGAATCAATGGATACGGCCGCGCCATTGGTAGAGGAGATTATACAGAGGCAGATGCATGGAGCGGTCGACCTAGGCAAAGAGCAAGGCTCACGGCAAAGGAGTCCATCCGCCGGTGGTTTGTAAAACACCGACAACCTTTCTCTGTTGTTGAGACTCCTGCTTTCCAAGAGATGTTCTTGGCTCACAACACAACCTGTGCGTACAGGAGTCGTATAACTTTACGCAACCATATCTACACAGACTTTGTCGAACGCAGAGAGAAGCTGAAGATTGAGCTTGAGTACAATTGTGCTACCATCTCGCTCACCCTTGATATCTGGACAGCACCGAATCGGGTGCCTATTTTCGCCATTATTGCGCACTGGATTACGCCGGGGTTTGAGGAGAGAGAAGAGGTTATTGAGTTTATCGAGCTCAAAGGATCTCACACTGGCAAACAACTAGCTGAGATAGTTGAGAAGACACTTGAGGAGCTCAGGCTCAAGCCCAAGCTTCTCGCCATTACGGGAGACAACGCCGCCAACAACGGCACGCTCTGTCAGTCTCTGTACGATTCTCTCAAGACCAACTTCGACGACAAGGTGAGCCCCATAGGGAGGCCCCGCATGCGCTTTCACGGCAGGAAGAGTTGGATCCGCTGTCTGGCTCACATTACCTCACTCATTTGCGAGGGCGTCTTGCAAGATCTCAAGGCAGGCACAGCGAAGGAAGCCAAGAAGATGCTGGATAAGTGGGACGAAGAGAATAAAAGCAACAACTACACCATTCCGGGAGACTCTAGTCGAAGTGGGATTGCCAAAATCCGCCTTCTCAATCTCTGGATGCTGAGATCCGGGCCTAGGGAGCAAGACTTCAAAAGCATGCCCCGCACGCACCATCGGAAGCCAACCTACGATGTCGACACTCGCTGGAATTCGACCTACGACATGATTGACCAATTCCTGGAGCTTGAGGCAGAGTATACCGAGTTCGTTGATACTCACCAGCAAGTCAAGTGCCTCCTGCCCTTATCGGAAGAGATTGTCGCTCTCTATCAACTACGGAAGGTTCTGAAGCCGTTTAAAGACCATACTCTGAAAGTCTCCGAAGCTATGCCGCAGATCTCACAAAGTCTCGATATCTATTGGGATTTGGAAGCTCTCCTTGATGATGTAGTCGAAGGGGTTGGCGACTTTTCAGACGTTGATATGTCCATTCGAAACGCCTTCTCGAAGGGCAAAGCAAAACACGTTACATATATGAAGAAGCTTGACGATCAAATGATGCTATTCGCAGCTCACATCCTGGATCCGCGGTATAAAGCTCACCAACTAGAAATGATGATACCGGATCAATACTCTGAGATTATGGCTAAAGTCAAGAAGTATTTCAGAACGGAGTGGCCGGAGCTAGCAATATTGGATGCCACAAACTCAACTATGAGCCAATCCAGACCAGCTGAGCGTCCTCAAGGAGTCTCCATTGCGCAGTGGAGAGCCATCCAAATGAAGAAGGCGAAGGAGGCGGAGGCGGGCGCGGCGATCCCTATTTCGGAGCTTGAACGGTGGTTTGCAACTCCTCGAATAGAGTTCGACGAGTCTATTGCAAAGTCTCCAGACTTCTTACGGAAGTGGTGGAAAGAACATAAGGAGGAGTGGCCACTTTTGGCTGCGGCGGCGCGTGATCTTCTCTCTGTCTCTGGCTCTGAAGTTGACGTGGAACGCCTCTTCAGTGGTTGTAGAGACGAATTCGGTATCCGCCGTCATGCTATGAAGGCAGATACAGCGCGAGTACTAACACTTTTACGGAGTGCTTATACTCAGGAAGATAAGATCGATCAGGCGTTGATCAAGGCGGCCATGGAGTATGACATCCTGCCCTTCGCCAATAGTATTATTTGGAGACCAGACCACATTCCGGGCAAGCTGGTAGATGGTACGAATATACCCTCATTGTTTGTGTATTATGCTAATCTGCTTTCAGGCGAGAACCCTCCTCAACCCCCTGCTCCGGCGGAAGTTCCCACCGAGGCTCCCACCGAACCTCCTACCCCCAAACCTCTTGCCTCCCAAGCCGATAAGTCTGCGATATCAACCCCCTGTCTAGATACAATGGAGGCTTCGGAGGATTGAGGCTCTTCGAGTGTGTAGCCGTGTACAATGGCGGATTCGAACGCGTTGTACCGACGTATTTTGAGGATTCGGCAGAGCCTTTTGATGAAAGTGCTTATTTTCAGTCGATTTGCCTAGGACAGGCGGATCAGTATTTATGTAAGTTAATTTTTGTGGTATTCCGGATTATCGAGAGACTTCTCATACTACTTCTTGGCGTTTTTGAGGTATCTTTGCAATCGCTTAGGTACACACCAAATTCACTTCATTTAGGGGATCCCTTCAAACCATTCATGAATGGCCTGAATTGGCCCAAACCCAACTTGAATCGCGAAAATTGGAGCTTGAAGATTTTGAATCGAGATCCCAAAAATTCAATTCATTTGATTCATCCTTCATTCAAAATCTTCAAAAAATTCACCTTCGTATATCACCCCTAGCCGAAGCGCTCCAGTGGGAAAGATGCAGCGGCGCAACGTTTGAAGCGGACAAAACGACTGTCATTCACTTCACAAGAGTAATGGAGCGCACCTGCGACACACCGTTCATGACCAAAGGACAAGAGGTCATACCGAAGAGCAGCGTGAAACTACTAGGGGTGGTCATGGGCACGAAGCCGGTCCATGGAGCAGATGGCTAGAGCGGCCGCCAAAGGGCTCACGGCCGCATGTCTTTGCGAAGACTGAAGATGATATCCTTGCAAATGGCGAGAAAACTGTTTGTCGCGACGGTAGCGCCAACCATGCACTACGCCTCCAGTGTGTGGATGCACACGTGCGGCGTGAGAGAGGCGGCTTAGCTAGACAGGGCCCAGATGGTTGGGGAACAGGGCTGTCACGGGAGCCTCCGGCACAGTTGCAGCGGTGATAGCCGAGGCCGAGGCCGGCATCGCATCGTTTCGAGAACGGCACGGTCAAGTCGCGGCGAGGTTCTAGATCAGCCTGCGGACGCTCCCCAAGACGCATCCTCTGGCATCATCAAAGGTCAAAGCGAGCAAGCGACTCGTCTCGTCGATGCGAAGGATTGCCTCGATGATCGCGGAGTCAGACACAGAGCGAATGGAGATCATCCACGAGTACTCTCTGGCACCACGGAACGACCGCGTCGTGGGCGAGCGGGATCAGATACAGATGGTCAAGCCAAACGACGTGGAAGGTATCGTCGTCGCCACTTCCAGCTCGCAGAGGAAGGAGGTGTCGTTCACGACACTAGCCTCAACAGCACGAGCGAGGTGCTGGCCAGCTACTCGGTCACCCTCGGATCGAGGGATGAGCAGAACCCGTACATAGCAGAAATCGCGGCAGTGGCAATGGCGCTGGCCGGCTGGACTGCGTCGCCGAGATTTGACGATCGCGACGAGCAACTGCTCGGTATTGAGGTAATCAGGCGGGCACGCCAACAGTCTGGCCAGTGCACAATCCTACAGATATACGACCGCATCGATGCAACAGAGTCCGGGTGGGCGAAAAATATGCCTGTCAAACGATTGTCTACATCTTTTCGAACCCGGCACCAGAAGCCCTCATTATGCAGCTGACCAACCAGTGCTTGGATGCTGCTCTGGCCTTGATGTAGGTCTCTTCTCGTCGCCGCAATCCAATTATAAATGTCTCGTTGGCCGGCAAGAGTACTCGAATGGCTATGAAGGTATGTTATGATATCCCGAGGAGCACTACCAGACGCCACAAGATCTGAAATATTGGTAGCGTCGCGCTCTTCGAGTCGGCGATGCACTGGGTGCGCCGACGGGTCCCCGCTTGGTGAGTGGTTGTGCTCAGCGCACTCCTTGTCTGGTCGATGGCTGAGAGTCCAAGTGTGTCCATCTAGTGACTCTTTAGCTAATATTGAGAACTTGCAACCCGTTTTGCGACTAGAGGTTTGGCGTGCTCGTTCGACTGTGTCGCTCGGTGGCAGTCTGTTCCGGTCGCAGGCGCACACTATTTTGACCCTGCCATTTGGAGTCTTCTGGAGGCGGTGATGGCCGAGCGGATTTCCTTTCCGATGGAAACGTTTGGGCTGTTGCCTACTAACCGCTTTGGAGCCAGGAAGAGGGGTTCCGCAGAGCAGGCTCTCGTGCTCCTACAAGAGAACATTTACAAAACATGGCGAATGGGAAAAGTGCTTGGTCTTGTGAGCTTCGACGTAAGGGCGCATATAACGGAGTGTTCAAAAACAGGCTTCTACAACGGCTCGCAGCGAGAGGCTTGGCAGATGATCCCCTGGATGGGTCGATCGTCGTCGAAGAAGCAGGCCTCAGGAGCTCCCACGTCAAGGCATATCAGCACCGTGGAGAGCTCCTGCTGGGCCTGTACCTGTACGACTACGTATCGCTCGTCAGACTCAAACGCGATAGCAACGACGGGAGCTGTGCAGGTTGGGGAGAGGCCCCTGTCGAGGATGGGCGGCCGCCAGGAAGACGTTGGGTTCAGGTGCTCAGGCGGCCGGGAAAGCAGGCCACCGTCTGCCTTGACGGCTACCTGAGCAGGGACTTTGCCCACGACGATGAGGATTCGTGTCGTCGGGGGATTGTGCGGAAACCGTTTCGCCGGCGGATATGGGAGATCCCAATTTTTTTTCACCATTGAAAGGCAGCCGTGCAGCAGCTTGCGCTAACTTATTTGTACCATGGGAGTTCTTCCTGTGCGAAGAAATGGGCGACATCAACAGCATCCGGGCGCGGGCGCGAAAGGCGCTGGCTCCGAGAATATGATGTCTCATCAATAACGTGCAACTGCTTCGACGACCAGCCGAAGAGGCAGAACGCGACGCCAAGCGATGGGCATCCTCCTCCGGAGATGGCTATCCGACGGTCGGACACGTGGGTCCGGACGGACGATGCGGGCGCAGAATCTACAGTGACGTATCAGTCTAACAGCATCGGAAACGCAACGCGGCAGATCGACGTTGTCCGAGGTGCAGAGGACTCGAATCAGATGGCGGCTAAGTCGCCGGAGCTCATGGCGATGATGCAACAGCTCTGTCGGTTCCAACAATCCGTGCTGTGCTCGACGGCCGAGCTGGAGGCCGCCGTGGTAACCCGAACGTGGGGCGAGACAGATAAGTATGTAGGGGCGGGTATTTTGCACTACCACCGCAAAATCAGGTCAGGGCCATCAAGTCGCAGCAGATGAGTGCTTCGAAGGAGAGGGAGAGGATGATCCATGGCATACCGGTACAAGATATAACCGTGGTCCGGGAAGGCGACCGCCGCGCTGCGGCGCTGCATCGCGGAGAGTCATTGCCGGCCACGGGGAGGACGATGTCGAAATGGCGACGGCCGACTTCGATGAGACCGCAGACGACGCAGAGGCGGGAATGCAAGCCCAATTTGGCCTATCAGCCCCTTTCTCGGCGACGGGCAGAGAGTTGGCAACACGGCTGACAAAACGCAGTCGATCGCTTTCTCAATCATATGCCACCAGCTCTGCCAGTTCGTCGGCGGTTTCGAGGGCGGGACCGGTGAGTCGCAAATCATCGAGGCATTCGTTGAGTTGTTCAGTAGGTGGAGCCTTTCGAATCGTCTGCTGATCACGGCGACGTCAGGGACTGCCGCAGCGCGGATCAACAGTATCACGATCCACTCCAGGTTCTCCAAAGACCAAGGGGCGGCCGCGAACACGGCCAGGGATGTCGACGAGGTGCGACTGACAAGCAAGCTTTCGGATGGGTTGGCAGGAGAATGACGCGCTGGTCATAGCGGAGAATTGTTGCAACCCCACGATAGAGTGATGGTGAAGCCAAGAGATTGGCGGAGGGGTTGGCATGACCGGATTACCAACTGTTGTAGAGACGAGTTGCGGGGGAACGGGTTGGGCGAGGAATCTCGGGGTGTCGCTCCTACACCCTTCCGCTGCTGCCTGGTTTGGGGCAGCAATGCTACTCCGCGCCAGTTCACTTTCTGGCTGCAGTGAAGACAATGAATTACTCCGCAAATCGACCCCACGATAAGTCCTGCTTATCAAAAAGGGGTACAGTCCTTATAGCTCGGTACTACCCGTTGGCGGGGCCTCTGGCAGCCAACTAAGGGGCCCCTTCCCCTTAGTGCCCCTTAGTTGGCTGCCAGAGGCCCCGCCAACGGGTAGTTGGGCCCAGCGACGGAAGCGGGCCAACGGCCTGGCCTGTCTTTATTAGGCTTATTCCACCCCATGATTCTCAGTTCCAAGAAGTGATACTAGAGACTAATTGAACGAAGGTGAATGGCCATCTGTCGGGTAAGAAATGGCAGCGATAATTTATTTGGCTTTCAAAACATTTGTTTAACGCGCTGCGCGAAAAAAATGATACAAAAACTGTAACGGGCTGAGCCCGTGAGGGGTCTCGGCTCCACTCTCGACCAAGCCCCACTCGCGTTCTTGAGCTTCGCTCAAGAACTCTCTTCGCCTTTGGTAGGTTAGCTACACCGGACGGCTAAAGGCAGGTGGACTCTTCGTCAAATGCGGCGGAGGAGAGTGGTCTGTACCTCATCAGACAGGCTCCAGAATTGGAAAGGGACAGGTCAAATGAGCAAGAGACGGATTGAAGGATGTAAGAGAAATTTAGGCATTAGATCGGGACGAATTCCTTGGGCTCGGAGCCGAGTATTGGACAACTCTAGATTAGGCTTAGCGAGTCTGACGCAGTGCCTCTGACTATCGTCAATGGCGAAATAAACATCATCATCATCATCATCTCTTCGCCTTCTAGATCTTTCTCTTTTCTTTTCTTCTTCTTTTTCCCCTTAGCTTTAGGATACTCGTCGCAGTCGCTCAGCTAGTTGTCAACACACTCAGTTGAGACCGTTACATTATCCTAAAGCTGCCTTTTATCGTTACAGCCTTTTGATCGCAATCAATTGGCAGCGCTGTTCAGTTCCCTTTGTGGGTACGCAAGGTGGCAGTAGCGGGACAATCTCGCTTGGGACGCCCGCGACGAAAGTGCGTGTGTGTACGGCGCAAAAGCCAGCTCGGCTCGCGTCGCGTAGCTCCAATCGTCCGACGAAAGGACAAGGAGCGTCGATCTGCTCTCCGTACGGCGTGCGGTCGAGCGTGTACTGTGATTGCTGCTTGGCTCCCAGTGTGGACGGCAGCAGCTGGACCAGAAGCCCTGTACGGGTCGTCCAGTCGTGTAGGAAGGAGCCCGTGAGGCGTTGATAAAATTCGACGGTCGTCGATTATCCCTTCAAGTACGGTAAGACTTGCTGTGTGATCAAGTCGCCCTCCAGTCGTGTAGCACTCGGAGAAAAGCTTCTACTACCATGGAAGCTAGTAAGTCTCAAGATGGCTCGGTCGAGTCAGCATCCGTGACGATGCAAGTCTTGAGCGAAGTGATGGCCCAATTGCAGGCCTTGCGCGCAGAAGAGAGGCCGATCGTGAAGAGATGCGATGTCAGATCCAAAACATCCAAGCAGCCTTTTCAACGCCCACCCCGACAGACGGACCAACCATAACGAGCAACATGACGCAGAACGGCGCGTCCCACGGAACGGATGCGAGCGAACAAAAGCCAGCGAAGAGAAACCCACTACCCGATCCGCAACGCTTCGATGGAGCACGGAAAAAGTTCCGAGCCTGGCAACTAGAAATGCAGAGCAAGCTACGTGTCGATGGTGTTGCGATCGGTTCGCCGTCAGATCAATTCGCGTACATTTATGCGAGGCTCGACCAGATACCACAATCGATGGCTGCAGCCTTCTTCGAGAGAGGTGGCCCCGATGGCCGATTCGACCCCGACTTATTTATGCAATACCTAGTTAGCTGCTATGCAGATCCGAACGCCGAGCAGAGAGCCCTGACAAGACTTGAAACAATGAGACAAGGACCGAAGGAGAGTTTTGCGGCGTTCTTGCCTAAGTTCGAAAAAGAGCTCGCAGAGAGTGGAGAAGCCACCTGGGCGGACTCTGTACGAATCAAGTCGATGCTTGATGGTGAAGTTGTACCGCGATAACGTCTCAGCCCATCGCGCCTGACGTTCGCTCAGTTGCTGCTTCTTGGTGAAGTAGCGTAGGTTGAGATGATCTGTCCAAACGGTAAAGGACTTTACACTCCTCAATTCGGCGTCCCAATGCTCGAGGCAGCGAATGATCGCCAGCAGCTCTTTGTCGTGGATTGGGTAATTGCACTCCGCCGGTGCGTTTTTCTTGGAGAAGAAGGCCACAGGCCGCATGATGCCGTCATCGCCCTTTTGCGAGAGCGCCCCTCCTGTGACATAACCGGATGAATCCGTCTCTACGATCGTCTCTCTATCCGGATCCCATTGCGCGAGAATCGGGGCGCTGGTCAGGAGTGACTTCATCTCTTCGAACGCCGCCTCGCACTCCTTGGACCACATGAAGACCGCATCCTTCTTTGTCAGCGCCGTTAGGGGCGCAGCGATGTTGGAGAATCTGGGGATGAACTGCCGGTAATAATTGGCAAAACCCAGAAAACTTCTGACGCCCTTGACAGAACGAGGTTGCTGCCACTGCTGAATTGCCTGCACCTTCTCCGGGTCCACGCGGATACCCTTTCCGGCTTCGACGATGAAGCCCAGGTACTTGACACTCTTTGCTTCAAAGTCACACTTGTCGATGTCAATCTGCAGGCCTGCATTTCGCAATCGCGCAAGGACCTGCTTGACTTTGTTTCGATGATCGGCGAGCGAGCCGCTCGAATAGATCAAGATGTCGTCAATGTAGGCGGAGCAGAACTCGTCGAGGAAATCTCGCAGCGTGTGGTTGATGTAACGCTGAAACGTTGCCGGAGCACCCGTCAACCCGAACGGCGTGACAAGCCACTCGTATAGTCCGTATCGTGTCCGGAATGCCGTCTTCCACTCGTCTCCCTCCTCGACGCGAATTTTGTGGAATGCCGCGATAACGTCGAGTTTGGTAAGCCACTTGGCCTTGGACAGCGACCGCAGAGTCTCATCGATCAGTGGCAGAGGATATCGGTCTTTCTTGGTGATGGCGTTCAAACCTCGATAGTCCACGCAAAACCGCAGACCGCCACCGGGCTTCCGCACGAACAAAACTGGTGCTGACGCCGGAGAACTGCTCGCTCGGATGAATCCTTTGTCGAGTAGCTCCGTGAGAGTCTTTCGTAAGACGATGAGTTCCTCTCGTGACATGCCGTACAGCGGCCCCCACGGGGGCTCTTTCTCCTTGCCATCGGGCATTTTCTCCAACTGAATCTTATGATCACATCCCGGTCGACGTGGTGGGAGTTGATCCGCTTGGTCTCGGTCGAAGACAGACAGGTACTCGTGGTAGTGACGAGGCAGCTTCTCTCTCGGGTCTGACTTCTTCCTCGGAGCTAATGCCTTCTCGATGTCTTTTAGACTTGCGGAAAAGATCCGCACTCCACCGTCTCGATGCCTGAACTTTCTTGCTCGGCGAATCATTCCGGCGAACACGAACGCCGCCTGTCCTCGTATGTTGCATCGTTCCTCCTCCCTCGGGTTTCGGCCTTTCACCCAATGGTCGTGCGTTCCGATATGCAAGAGGTTCTGGGATGATCGTAAGGTAACATCCTCTTGGTTCAACCACTTCTTGCCCAAAAATCACAGGATCGGTTTGGTCTCGCACGACGTAGAAAAATGCTCTTTTCTTCTGGTACCCGTCGATATCGAAGTCGAAGTAGGTCACGGCACAAATGGCCGCGGGTGAGAATGTGTTGACCTGCTCCAACGCTCGAGGTTTAATTGCAATACGCGGTAGGTGAAGCTTGCGGGCAAGGCGCTCACTGATGGTCCCATAGCACAGGCACCCACAGTCGACGAAGGCCGTAGTGAAATGCTCTCGATTGATACCGAAATTTACGTAGAGGCCTTCACAGTCCATCTCGTCCTTCTGAGTTGCCCATTCAGCCTCAGCCTTTGCGCGCTCCTGACGGCGATTTTCGTCAGGAGCTACTCGTTTTCCGAATACTCGTCGGAAGCCTCATCGTGAGAGCTCTCAGCGGGCTCCTGGTGCTTTGCTCTCGAGCTCTTCGTCTTTTCCTCGACACGAACATTCTTCTGCCGCTGCTGTCGCTTGTTCTTCGAGCAGTGGGCCGCAATGTGGCCGAGTTTTCCGCACTCATAACACGTACGTTCCTCCAATGGGACGAAATGGTTTCTCTCCTGGGGTTTTCCTACATCTGTCAACCGACTCGCTTTTACGGGCTCCCAATCCATCCGATCCTCGTGGAGAGATGGAGGCGGCGTGACTGCAACTGGTGTAGAGACTGGTGACCGGAGTTTCTGTCCTTGAGGGCGATCTTTGCTGGGTGACTTGACGTCTAAGTTCTTGTTGTTCGTGTGCTGGTTGTAGAATCGCAGATCCTCGAGGTTGGCTCCAAGATTTTGCAAGGCATTGACAAACGCAGGATACTCTCTTGGTAGGTTTAGCTGACCCGCGAGATGGGTACGGAGTTCTTGGTTGATGACACGCTTCAGCGTGTTGATTCGTACAGAGTCCGCCCAGGTGGCTTCTCCACTCTCTGCGAGCTCTTTTTCGAACTTAGGCAAGAACGCCGCAAAACTCTCCTTCGGTCCTTGTCTCATTGTTTCAAGTCTTGTCAGGGCTCTCTGCTCGGCGTTCGGATCTGCATAGCAGCTAACTAGGTATTGCATAAATAAGTCGGGGTCGAATCGGCCATCGGGGCCACCTCTCTCGAAGAAGGCTGCAGCCATCGATTGTGGTATCTGGTCGAGCCTCGCATAAATGTACGCGAATTGATCTGACGGCGAACCGATCGCAACACCATCGACACGTAGCTTGCTCTGCATTTCTAGTTGCCAGGCTCGGAACTTTTTCCGTGCTCCATCGAAGCGTTGCGGATCGGGTAAAGTGGGTTTTCTCTTCGCTGGCTTTTGTTCGCTCGCATCCGTTCCGTGGGACGCGCCGTTCTGCGTCATGTTGCTCGTTATGGTTGGTCCGTCTGTCGGGGTGGGCGTTGAAAAGGCTGCTTGGATGTTTTGGATCTGACATCGCATCTCTTCACGATCGGCCTCTCTTTCTGCGCGCAAGGCCTGCAATTGGGCCATCACTTCGCTCAAGACTTGCATCGTCACGGATGCTGACTCGACCGAGCCATCTTGAGACTTACTAGCTTCCATGGTAGTAGAAGCTTTTCTCCGAGTGCTACACGACTGGAGGGCGACTTGATCACACAGCAAGTCTTACCGTACTTGGAAGGGATAATCGACGACCGTCGAATTTTATCAACGCCTCACGGGCTCCTTCCTACACGACTGGACGACCCGTACAGGGCTTCTGGTCCAGCTGCTGCCGTCCACACTGGGAGCCAAGCAGCAATCACAGTACACGCTCGACCGCACGCCGTACGGAGAGCAGATCGACGCTCCTTGTCCTTTCGTCGGACGATTGGAGCTACGCGACGCGAGCCGAGCTGGCTTTTGCGCCGTACACACACGCACTTTCGTCGCGGGCGTCCCAAGCGAGATTGTCCCAAGCTACTGCCACCTTGCGTACCCACAAAGGGAACTGAACAGCGCTGCCAATTGATTGCGATCAAAAGGCTGTAACGATAAAAGGCAGCTTTAGGATAATGTAACGGTCTCAACTGAGTGTGTTGACAACTAGCTGAGCGACTGCGACGAGTATCCTAAAGCTAAGGAGAAAAGAAGAAGAAAAGAAAGAGAAAGATCTAGAAGGCGAAGAGATGATGATGATGATGATGTTTATTTCGCCATTGACGATAGTCAGAGGCACTGCGTCAGACTCGCTAAGCCTAATCTAGAGTTGTCAATACTCGGCTCCGAGCCCAAGGAATTCGTCCCGATCTAATGCCTAAATTTCTCTTACATCCTTCAATCCGTCTCTTGCTCATTTGACCTGTCCCTTTCCAATTCTGGAGCCTGTCTGATGAGGTACAGACCACTCTCCTCCGCCGCATTTGACGAAGAGTCCACCTGCCTTTAGCCGTCCGGTGTAGCTAACCTACCAAAGGCGAAGAGAGTTCTTGAGCGAAGCTCAAGAACGCGAGTGGGGCTTGGTCGAGAGTGGAGCCGAGACCCTCACGGGCTCAGCCCGTTACAGTTTTTGTATCATTTTTTCGCGCAGCGCGTTAAACAAATGTTTTGAAAGCCAAATAAATTATCGCTGCCATTTCTTACCCGACAGATGGCCATTCACCTTCGTTCAATTAGTCTCTAGTATCACTTCTTGGAACTGAGAATCATGGGGTGGAATAAGCCTAATAAAGACAGGCCAGGCCGTTGGCCCGCTTCCGTCGCTGGGCCCAACTACTGATTTTTGCCTCGGTGTCCCAGGGCTGAGCACATCGTGCAGCGATTACGAGAAGCCACGGAATGGGCGCAGGCTGCGATTGCGTCAGCGCAGGAGCAGCAAGAGAAGAATGCCAATACGCGAAGACAGCCGTCGGATCAATTCAAGCCTGGAGACAAAGTGTGGTTACGGCTTCGCAGCATTCGCTCTGACAGGCCGTGCAAAAAACTTGATTGGCTGTCGGCCAAGTACACCGTCCTGGAGACTATCGGATCACACGCGTGTAGACTGGATACGCCCCCGGGAATACACAATGTGTTCCATGTTTCGCTTTTACGATTGGCAGCGGAAGACCCTTTACCGTCTCTGACGTCTGATGACTGTCGACCACCTGCAATTTTGACGGACGAAGGTGAGCTGTGGGAAGTGGAAGAGATCCTGGATGAGAGGAAAGTCGGCAGAGAATGGAAAGTGCTGGTGAAATGGGTCGGATGGATAGGCCCAACGTGGGAACCGGTCAAATATGTGGCTGACACAATAGCTTTTGCCAAGTATGAGGAAACACATGGGAAAGTCGGATCAAGACGACCTCCTACGAAAGGGAGGAGAAGGAGGGGGTAGTACGGGCGACTGTAGGCCAGACTGTCTCAAAATAGTACGCGGGGTATTGTAACGGGCTGAGCACGTGAGGGTCTCGGCTCCACTCTCGACCAAGCCCCACTCGCGTTCTTGAGCTTCGCTCAAGAACTCTCTTCGCCTTCTAGATCTTTCTCTTTTCTTTTCTTCTTCTTTTTCCCCTTAGCTTTAGGATACTCGTCGCAGTCGCTCAGCTAGTTGTCAACACACTCAGTTGAGACCGTTACAAAAACGCAGGAGCCCATCGCCGAGGCAACAATCCCGTTGATATTTTTCAAGAACTTCCTATTGTTCGGGTCCTCTTAGTCATTGCTGTTGGTACAAGGCAAAGGAGCGAAGATAGGGTTGTCTCGGCATAACCTAGATATTCTATCGCACGGAGGATGAGCAAGTGAGCATAAAGATCAGGGACTGGAAGACTCTTGATTCTTCTAACTTCTATCTAGAGCGTAGCATGGGCTGCATCTTTATAGGCGATGCGAGTGAACGACTAGAACCTGATGGAAGGTTCTGTGACTGTTAAGCTGGTGACTACTGTGCGAGTCAGGGTTTCAGTCTGTTGGAGGCTGATGTACCCTGTGTGACATAATTATTCTATTCGGACTTGGTATCCATGCCGAAATGGCCCGATCTTCCCATCTCCTTTTCCCACGCTACCTGACCGAACTCATCCACGACGAGCTCTTCGGCCTCTTCCAAGGCCCGTTTGCCCCGGAGATCGTCTGTAGACGCCCAGGTTGGCTTCCAAATGACCTTATATTCGATGGATCCGTTCCATGCCTTTCGTACCTCCCCCAAGCGTAAGAAGTCGTATTCCTGAGTGGTGCAAGTCGCAATGCGCTTCTTTTGAACACGATACGAAACAGAAGCAGCAGCGCGTGGCGCAGACTTCCTCTTACGTCTGCTTCGGCGCGGCTTGGTTACCTCGGACTTTTTACAAACTGTGATCGATTCGGGAAACACCTGCTGCACGTGTGATGGGCACTCTGGCTCGATCATTACGTTCTCTGCAAAATACTGTAAGAACTGCAAGTGCAGGTTGTCTGCGAGAGAACTCATAATACCTTGATTTGCTAAAACGCTACGCTGATGTGTCTTAGTTTGCTCACTGACGACCCTTTCGCACTCTAAGGAAAGTGACTGAAGACGGTTGGCGTCCATTGTTGGGCCTATGGTAGGTGCTGGGGATTGCGCGAGGCATGAGGTTGTCCCCTGCATCAATGTTTCTGGGCCCGTCGAATTGATAACCGGAGCGCCAAACTTGACGTCGGGGGTTTCATCAGGCTCCGAGATGGTCTGAATGGGTTCACTTGTGCTTCCTGATTTGCTGCTGGAACCAGAGTTGCAGCTCCTTGAACTGGACGGCGAGGGAGACGGGGTCGAGGACGGGAAGTTCCACGTGACTGCAGAATGGTGGGATGAGTGACCTTGACTCGGAGAGGGCCAGCGGTATGTCTTCTTCAGAGTTATCCGGTCCATCTTCACAGTGGTCACGTAGGAAACAAAGATATGGAAGAGAAGTGTTAGATGGTGAGGAATCCGGGGAATCCGGGGAATCCGTGACCCATTTATAGACAATCTGAGCCCCCCATGCCCTCAGCTATTGAGTAACGAGAAGAGGAAGACGGGGGCCAGCTTTGCCGAAGTCATCACTGTGACGTATCAGTGCCTCCTTCCCAAGGCGCAGCCCTTCCACCCACCTTGAGAGTCGTGGGCGGTAAGGGACAAGCTGGGGACAAGCCGGGGACAAGCCGGCAATGCCAATAGCCCCCCTTGTCCCTTTTCCACTCTCCACACTCTCTTCCCTCTCAATGGTCACCAGCCCCTCCCTCTTCCTCCACGAGCATCGCTTCTCCTGCCCCGAGTTGAGTTGCATCGCAAAGCTGCAGCAGAGTGAGGAGCAAGCACCCAGTCTCAGTGCGCGCCCGGGAAGCAGCTCGTCCAGGTAAGATCACCGGACCACATACCCCATAAACGTCACCTTTAGAATAGTCCGTCGTTGGGCGCCCTGGCACGAGCCGCGGCGAGGAAAGCTGTGTACCCGAAACTCGTACGATTCGACATAGCCTGCGAGGTTGAGGAAGGATCATTCTACCTTCATGCGGACACTGGAACAGAGTGAACCAAAATGGTGTTCTGTTGAAGTCATGTAGGTAACAGTACAACTTGCAAGGCGCGTTCTGTCCCTGAAGAATATGTCGATATGACTCGCTCGCGTAAGTCAACTTCGAGAGGAGACGAGGGCAAAAATTTGCCCATGAAACGATGTTGGTGCTCATGTACGGGTTGCTGACTTCAAACTTCAACGCATTTCTTCCGCCTCAGTAGAGTCAACAGCTTTACTCAACGACTCTACCTATCTCTTAGGGCGTAAGTTTGACAAGGTAGAAGAAACGACTCTCAAGCTCTACCCCGACTATAGGGCTTCAAGTGGCCAAAGCGACTTACACTACTGTCCGCTACCCAGAGCCCGCTCAATGGGTGGTTATCGCTCTTGGGTGAAAAATGGCATACCTACGCTACGGCCGAATTATCAAAGTGTTTGATCTCTCATGTTTATCAATGGTGGAAGCTCTCATAAGCTACTAAAGCATACTAGTGTTTGTCCTTTCTGTGAAAGGCTGGCCCGGAGTTTATTCAACAAGCAGGTGCCTAGGTGTTGTCTATCTAGAGCTAAGGAGGAAAAGAAGCTGAACTCGAGGCGTAGCCTCGAGTGCAACTATATTACCCTTCTCGGAATGTTCTCGCAGCTTCTGGGTCCGCGGGCGGCCGGTGTTGCCACCGGGCACGACCCACCGGACCCGGTACAACCGGGTCCACCAGCCAGGCACAGCCCGTGACATTATTGTCCCCTCCGACCAGGTCGGCGTCTGCGGGGTTCTTGCGTTCCTGCCAGCGTCTCGTACCTCTCCTAGGGCCATCATTGGTCTTGATTGGCCCGTACTTGTCCTCGAATGCCTTCATCGCAATTGTTCCTTGCAACCACTCAACTGGCTCCCAAGTCGGCTCTGCGTAGCCCGTCCATCGCACTAGTGCTTGCCTGAATTCCCCTCGTCCGCGCTTCTTCCATCTCGCGCAGAGGATCTCGTCGACATCCCACAGATCCGTGCCGGACTCATCTTGTACCGGTGGTGGCTGTGCGTCATCTACCTTTTGGCCAGGAGCCGGATCTTGATGCGCCCGCCGCAAAAGGTCAACATGAAATCGCGGGTAAATTGAGCCACGAACATCGAGCTCAACAACGTGCGAACTAATTACCTTCGTGACTGTGTACTTGTGATGCAGCCAGTCGAGCTTCTTGCACGGTCGTGGCGATCTGTAGTTTGCCATCGAGAGCCACACCTTGTCACCAACTTCAAATCGCTCCGCAGGCTGTCGCTTTGCGTTGGCAGCCTCTTCTTGTTGTTGCTGTGAGGAGGCCATCACTGCTTGCATGTACTCATTGACCTCCTGCAGGCGACTGAGTAGGCTATCAGCTCTGCTTTCCTCTCTATGCCTCGGTGGCTCTTCCGATTCCTCGACGCTGATGGGATCGACGTGGTAACCATGCTCAGCGAAAAGGGGCTGATCTTGGTCGCTGCGGATTCACGATTGTTGAGTGCCAGCTGCGCGGCGAGGGCAGTTCTCCCCAGTCGTCCTGCACGTACGACACGTAGGCTCTCAGGTAGGCCTCGATCTCCTGGTTCATTCTCTCTGGCCCTCCGTCCGTCTGAGGATGATAGGCCGTGCTCAATTTCTGCGTGACACCTGCAAGACGGCAGAACCTCTTCCAGAACCTACTTAGCCAGTTGCTCCCGCGGTCGCTGACGATGGACCGTGGCATTCCGTGAAATCGGTAATGACACTGGAAAACGGTTTGCACACTGCTCAGCTTCCATGTTGTCCATCACCTCGAGGTCACAGCCTTTGTCAGTCTGTCCACAATCACCCACAGGTACCTTGCCTTGCTCGGTCCAGTAGGCGGCAGATCTGTGATGAAGTCCATGGACAAATGGCTTCGGGGTCGATCTGGAATCGGCAGAGGCTTGAGAAATCCCCTTTTCGACTGGCGCCAGATGTGTGCTCTGCCGCAGGTGTCGCAATTGGCTACGTACCGGCGAACCAGCTGGGACTGCCCAGGCCAGTAGAATCGCCGAGCCACAATAGCCAGCGTACCTTCCCTGCCGGGATGACCGGTCGCAACAGAGTCATGCGACTGCTGCACAATGCGGGTTCTCAACTGGTCTTTCTCAGCTTCCTCCTGGTTACCCTCCTCTCCGGATCCACCCGGCACCCAAATACGGTCTCTGAATGTCAGCCTTTTGCCTGCGTCGATCGCACATTCTGAAATCTGGATCTTCAGGCCCAGCGAGGGCGGGAAGGCACGCTCGCGATCGCGGACTGCCTTATAGGCTGCCCGGAATATCGAGTCCTTCGCCACCGTTTCGTCCCAGAGTTGCTGCAGGTCCGCTACCTCGAAGACCTTCATCTTCGGCAGGGTGGATGCCTCTGAACAGTCAGAACTCATCGCGTTGATACATGCTCTTGTCGATGATGGAATGGCACTATCCGGTATCAACTGTATCATTCTTCCTTGTTCCCGCTCGTCGTCAATGCCCTGTGGCTTGTCTTGTTCACGGCGGGACAACGCATCAGGCACGACAGCCTCGCTTCCCGGTCGATACTCGAGCTTGAAGTCGAACTGGGACAATTCGGCTGCCCAACGGCTCTGCCGTTCCGTGAGCTTCTGGCGTGTCATGAAATACTCCAGGTTGCGGTGATCGGTAAGGATTGTAAATGGGCCGCAGCTCCTAAGTTCGGCGTTCCAGTTGTCGAGACATCTCATGATGGCAAGCATCTCCTTGTCGTGAATGGGATAGTTGTACTCCGCTGGCGAAAGTCGCTTCGAGAAGAAGGCGCATGCGTGTCGACGTCCATCTGGGCCTTCCTGCGACAGGACGCCTCCCAATGCGTAGCCTGAGCAATCCGTCTCCAAAAAGGTCGGGAGGCTCGGGTCCCACTGCTTGAGCACCGGTGACTCGCAAAATCGTCGCTTCAGCTCCTGAAACGCCTCGTTCTCCGCTCGTCCCCAATGAAAGGCAGTTCCTTTCTTAAGCAGGGCATCCAGAGACTGCGTGATCTTGGCATAGTCGGGGATGAAGATCCGGTAATAGTTGGCGAAGCCCAGAAAGCTTCTGACACCCTTCACCGTGGTCGGGGCCTCCCATTCGCGGATGGCGCGCTGCTTTTCGGGGTCGCAGGCGATTCCTTTCCCTGCGTTGACGATGAACCCAAGGTATTTGACCTCTTGTACCGAAAACTCGCACTTCGCTGGGTCTAGGTGCAGCCCAGCGTCGGCGAGTGCTTGGAGAACTCGTCGCACCTTAGCCTCATGATCCGCCTTCGAACCGCTCGAGTAGATCAGTACATCATCCAGGTACGCTGTGACAAAGTCGTCCAGCCATTCGCGCAATACACTGTTCATGTATCGTTGGAATGATGCCGGGGCGCCGCTCAGGCCGAAAGGGCACACGAGCCACTCGTAGAGCCCAAACCTCGTGCGAAATGCAGTCTTTCCCTCATGTCCCGGAGCCATGCGGATCTTATGGAAAGCGGCCACCACGTCCAACTTGGTGAACCACTTAGCCTTGGCCAGATTCTGCAGGGTCTCCGCGATGAGGGCAGTGGGTATCGGTCGCGCTTGGTGATTGCATTCAGCGCTCGGTAGTCGCAACAAAATCGCAGCCCTCCATTCGGCTTCCGCACGAACAGCACCGGCGCGGCAGCCGCTGAGCTACTCGCTCGGATGAATCCTCTGTCCAGCAGGTCTTTCAGGGTCTTTCGCAAGACCAACAGCTCTTCTCGTGACATGTTGTAGAGTGGGCCCCACGGAAGGGTGGCTCGTTGCCGTTCTTGTCAGGCTGCAGGTTGACTTCATGATCCACACCCGGTCGATGTGGCGGCAGCTTCATTGCCTCTCCTGGTGAGAATAGGTCGCGGAATTCTTTCAGCACTTCTGCCGGGACCTTCTCGCTCGGATCGACTGGCGGCTTCGGCTGAAGCGCCCTCTCTATATCCGACAAACTGATTGCATGAATCGAGATCGCGTTGCACTTCTTGCGTCTCTTTGCGCGTCGACACTCCGCCGTGAATACGGCTGCCGACACGAGTCTTGCGCTTCGAATCGCGCGTATCTTGGCGGGCTCTTCCTGCCCAATGAGGCGTATCGTCACACCTGCCCTCCCATGGTACATTCGCTGCTTGGCAGCATCGTACACGACGTGATTTCTCTCCATCCAAGGCCGGCCGAGGAACATGTCCTGGCCCAGGCTTGGGATCACGTATGCAAAGACACGTTCGTCAAATCCAGCTGTCTCGACCACAACAGCCACGACCCTGGGGATATGACACTCTTCGCTGACTCTGAGAATCCCCCAATTTCTCGTGGTTTCGAGTCGACGAAGGGTATCCGCAGCTTCCGAACAAGGGCTTCGTCGATCACGGCATAGCAGTCACATCCACAGTCGACAAGGGCGCGTATTCGATAGCCTCGGTTTACCCGCGCGTTGACTAATACAGTCCGACTATTCATTCGTGGCTTGAACGCTTCCCAGTCCCGGATGTCTGCCTTTGCAGGCCCCGGCGCCCGCTTTCGCCCCGGGGCTAGTCTTTTCCCGCCGACTCGTCCTCACTGGATGCTGCGGTTGATTCCGAATCATCTGCGGCATCGGGCTTCTTCATGCGCGCAGCTTTAGGTCGCTGTTGCTTCCTTCGCCAGGAAAGACCACCTGGGCTGGGCAGTCCACGATAAGATGATCCGTCCGACCACAGCGATAGCAGCGGCGCTCATCCTTCGGCTTCTTATCGACATGTCGACGACCCTTCGACTCGTGGCCAATACGGTTGATGTCCGTCATCTTAACATCTCCGTCGGGGTCCTCCGGTTCCTCCTTGGGTCGTTGCCTTGGTAGCTGTTGAGGCGTCCGCTCAGTCGACGTCGGCTGCCTACCGGGTTTCAGTCTCTCCAATCTGCCCGCAATTTCCTGAACTCTCGCAAGCCATCCCTGGTAGTCGTCGGGTAGGACGGCTGTGACCAAACTCTCTTGGAGGCGTGCATTTATTGCGTTCTCTAGAAATACGATCTTTGCACTGTCCGGCCAGTCTGCTCCCCCGGCTTCAGCTAATGCCTGTTCGAATCCGGGAAGGAAGGACGCGAGAGGTTGGTCTTCGCGCTGCCGCATAGTTCTCAGCGTGGCAGCAGCGCGGGATTGGATGTTGCTGTCCTGGTAGGTTCGGTCGAGGTATCGCATGAACTCTTGGGGTCGTAGCTACCCCAGGGCCTCCCGCGGCGTAAAAGGTAGCGACCACTTGCTGTGGTCGCTCGTCCAAACATGAGTTGATGAGGTACCAAAGTTCGCGATTTCCACTGTAGTAGTGTGCATCAAGGTCCAGCTTGTCTCGCATCTGCCTGGCCCAGGCGGAGTAGCTCTTCCGTGAGCCGTCATACTTGGGTGGGTTGGGCAACGGTTTCCGCATTCCAGTACCGCAGGTTTTGGGAGGGCGTGCCCAAGCCAGGCGTGCTCTCGCCCAATCCTCGTGCCACTGGCGGCGATTGCAAGTCGGCGCTCTGCGGCTGCGCTCGCCCGAGTTGCTCCATCAGCAAGGAAAGTTGGTCCTGTAGAGGGCTGAGAGTCGCATTGACCGCTTCTTGAATGCGTTGGTCAATCCATTGCTGCTGGAGACTTGGGCTCTCACTCTGCTGGTCCATCCTGACGAGCAGTCTGCAGCTTGCGGTATTTAGAAGGAGCTCTAGATATGTGAAAGGCTGGCCCGGAGTTTATTCAACAAGCAGGTGCCTAGGTGTTGTCTATCTAGAGCTAAGGAGGAAAAGAAGCTGAACTCGAGGCGTAGCCTCGAGTGCGAGCTTATATTACCCTTCTCGGAATGTTCTCGCAGCTTCTGGGTCCGCGGAGCGGGGCCGGTGTTGCCACCGGAGCACGACCCACCGGACCCGGTACAACCGGGTCCACCAGCCGGGCACAGCCCGTGACACTTTCTGAGGCAACCTCTTCGCTTTGACAGTCTGACTTGGCTCCTGTGACTCTTGGAGGAGCACTGCCGTCTTTTTTGCCATCGCCAGACCTATTGAAATCCGAAGGCGTTCTCCTCACCGCAGGCGGATATAGCTTCTCCTGAATCGGCAATCAGCGTTGGGACTTGTCTGCGAACAGGTCCACCCACGAGGTCAATAGTAGCTGGGAAAGACGAATCGTTCGTAGAATTATAGTCATAGGTTTTAAGTTTTCGTCGCACAAGTATGTAGACGTCAGCATCATATCGACGGCTTATTTGGTGGCATCTCTTCATAATACGTGACGTCGCCCTTGAAAAATTGTCCCATGTTCTGTCTCGCTTCGATGCCGGATTCATTCCCGATATTGTAGACCGTCTAGATTTCAGAGCTTTCGCCGCCGTCTTTTCATGGATAGCGGTCTTTAAAACCTTGCTCTGCAACATTAAGTAGCCATTTGCTGCTCAAGGTCGCCATGACCTTGTCTATATGTCGGCTGTGCTCACTACCTAATGCCGTAGTACACACTGCCTGCTAAGATCTGCGTTTTTCAACACAGGTGATTTAAGCAAGTGGTCCGGGCATTCCAGGCAACACAGCCAGAATAAGCCAATGGTACATACGCAGTAACATGAATCCTGCTCTTCTTCGAAGGTATGACTTCTCACCACACGACGGCTATGCACCATTTACGCTGCTTGTTCATTCGCTATACCATAGTTACCCCACAGTTATGCAATGTCGGTACAGCTGGGTATAATTGTGAGGGTTTTGTCGGACAGTAGTGTCCCACACCTCGCACGCGACAGCGGTTGATCTTTGTGGCATCAGTCGCTTCTTGTTCTTTAGATAATTCTCATCAATTGACTAATGCCACAAAGATCAACCGCTGTCACGTGCGAGTGTGACACTGCTGTCTGACAAAAGACCAAGACAGAGCTGAAGAATATGTGCTTCGCGTATATTCTATCAGCTCATCATCTTGGGACTGTACTGTAGTCATTTTTACGATCATTAAGTCACTCAATAGCGACCGTACGTGCGGGAACCTGTCGCACGCCTAAAAACCTGGGGCACTGATCATTCAGGCTCCAGTGGCAATCTTTGGAAGAGAACACCAAATTGTGCAGATATCCTCTGGCTACGTATTCCCCTTGTGAACGTGGGGAACTCTAATTGGAACCACGGAGCGAAAGTGAAGTGGGGGCTGCGATGCGCTGGCAGAGGCTGTCTCTACAGTGGTCGGGCATAAAGGAACAAGGGAAAATCACAAGCTCCTGTCGGAGGTTCTTTAGAGATCAACAATTGAATCACTGGCTCCCGTTCTTCACTCTCTGTTTCGTTGTGCTTGTGCGCCTCACAGAACCATGGGAGGAGGGAGCTATTTCAAGATCAACATGTAGTACTGAGTGCAAAGTATAGCCGTATCACGCTCCGGTTTGTATCGGGCCGGCCACCATGCAGTTCTACCATATATGTTGCAGGTTTATGCGAAGCCATCGAAAGAGCACAGTTGTATTCTTGGCCGCCTCTGGTGGCAGGTTACGAAGGGCAGTATCCAACCAGCACCGAATCGAAGCGGTCACAATAAGTCGCTGGCCTTCAAGCGTATACGTCGTACTGTCCTTGCTGTGTAGGCAATTCTGTCCCCAACAGGAAGTAATAGGTATGAACCGGCGAGGTTAAAAGCTGCCGAGTAAAGATTGACGAGGTTTAGAGCGGCAAGGTTTAGAGCGGCAAGGTTTAGCGTGGCAAGGTTTAGCGTGGCAAGGTTCGACGCGGCAAGGTTTGGTTTGATGCGGCAAGGTACCACAACCAAACCCAACTGGTGCATTCGCGCTAACCTCACGTGTTGAGCAATATGTACAGTAAAGCCCGGACGACGCGATACCTGGATCACAATGTACCTTTGAAAGTGATGAAAGAGTGAGTCTATGTAGAGCAGCTTCAAGTGCATGCGCCCAGACCGCGGCGTCCGAGGTTACCTAGTAGAACGGACCAGACTTTCTGGCCGGCATGAGTGGTGCGAATCGGATGCACTAGGTACCGGTACACTGCCGCCTATTTGGAACCATGAGACACTTTTGGCAATCTCCGCATTCCAAAGTCCTCAGAGGATCATATGTAGACAGGATCTGTTCATGCTAGGGGACGTTGGCAGTCGGGGAGCCATGTACGCTATTTTCAGCGTGTTTGGGCTGCTGTGTTGCGAGACTGCCGAGAAAAATGGCCGCAATGGCCATCATTCTTAATCGTCGACAAGTATGTATCTCCTATGTACGAACGAGCTACTGTTAAGAAAACAGTAGCGCGATACTTCGATGTGGATAATATGCACCGTCTATTGACCCAAAATCTGGGACAAGTTTATACTTTCGAAGGCGGACGCTGTACCTGAACCCCCCCTGTATGTATGTAACACCATAGCAGGCATTTCCCTCCGTCTCTAGCGAACCCGACATGAAGGCATTTCAGAAGCAAATGGTTTGCCTGCTACTTTTGCGCGTCCCGGCCTTGAACCGTCCATCCCTTCCTGACTCCGTCCCCTTGCGATGTGGTCAACTTAGTCACGGTTATTAATAAGTGTTGTGTGCTGCTTGCATCTGGCTTTCACCAGGCTACTGGTTGTGTGACGCTTCTTTGCTCGCATTGTGTGTCGCTGCACCCTCGGGATACTGACACCGTTCATTCTGAGATGGCCCCCGCTATGGTCTTGGCACTTGCTTTGGCGGAGTTTGTCAGTGCCCAACGCCCACTGCCGCAACCTCAAGCCCGCAGTTCAGGCCGAGAAAGGCGTTATCCGCCTGGCTCGCATGCCATGGGCGCTGGGGGTGTCGAGTCGTCCGCCCTTCGAGAGAGTGAGTTCAATGTCGCCATCGGCTCCTCAATGAACAATACTGGCTGGAGCTTCTCTGTATCTGCGCAGCCCGCGGCTGGCAGACCAATATATTCCCCCTCCGTCTCTGAGATTCCAATTTCGACAGTCCGGACTGCAAATGACACCTCAGGAGCAGCTTCACAGGCGTGGAGCTCGTTTGGCGGGGATGTCCAGGGCGCGAGCAGATCGACTCTACAGCCTGCTAGAACCAGGAAGCTGGATACACCGAGCCAAGAGCTGAATCCACCAGGCCGGTTTACAACTCTTACTAGCTTTACAAGGTTCGATACTCCTAGCATTGTTTTTTCGCTCAGGCTGTCCGAGTCAAAAAGCCAAGAAGGTGTAGTAACAAGGGGTTATGTCAGCCCAACCCCTTCAAACACCCGGGTTATACCGTCCACCTTTGCATTCGAGACCTCGGAGTCGGGAAACCAGGTCGATTCAACAGCAGGCTTGGCAGCATCAACAACAGCTGAAAAGCTCAACTCATTGAGACCTCCAGAGCCCTGGACTGCTTCCGGTTCGAGAACGATCATTGTCCCGAGTTCCGCCAGCCCCAAAGCCCAAATTTTCACCTGGACAGGTAGGATGGATGTGTCACATCATGAGCAAATGTCTTTGGTCCAATCAAGCGCCCCGTCATTTTCGGAAAAGCTTACTATTCCCGCCACTGTAAGCAAAGTGATTCTAGCTGACACACGAAATGTGTCGACAAACACCCTGGAAACGCCCATGACCCAGCCACAGCTTTCAGCAAGCAGGAAGATGCCCACAGCTTTCACGATTAGTCGTTCCGCTACAACAGAATCGACCCGGGAGTGGTCCACAAGATCAATATCATCCGTGCCGCACTTGGATCCCAATATATCATGGCAATCAGACATTCTAAGGCCGGCTTCCATACTTCACGTCTCCTATTCTCCAACATCATCGAAGGAACGCCTCAACTCCAATATTGCAATGCAAACAACGCCTTTGGACCTGTCTTCTGCTTTCGGTACCGCCGACCCCCCCCAACCGTACAAATCTATATCGACGCCCCTTAAAGGAGAGCCAATTTTCTCGTCGATAGTTTCAAGCTTGATTCCAGTGCTCTCAAGCGGTAGACCTATCGAAGCGGGCAATGCAACGCCCCGGCTAAGATCCACCACAACTAGTTGTTTTGCAAAATCTTTATGGGATTCTACTGCAACCAGCCAAGTTCAACAGGGCGTTCATTCAAGGGCTAAGCCAATCCCGCACATCGGAGGAGGTAGTGAAGGATTTTGAACAAGGTGAGATCGTCCTGTGCACGGCAAGTTTCATTTGCTAATGAATCTCAGTTACGGGCAAAAAAGCTCGATACATTCCCATGCAGGACTGCAAATCTTTTAACACCCGTGGGAAAAGGTTTTTGACCACTGTTCAGCAGATGTTCGACTACTGCCAGCAATGTGGCGGATTGTACTTCGGGGCGCAACCAAGCATCAGGGAGGCTGTTGAGCTAAAGCGTTTAGCTGCGGCGGCGCAAGGTCGGCCTCGGGAAGATGCGAGACTGCAATCCATGAAGGAGTTTTTCCAGGACCATTTTGGCGGGAAGGAGTTCTGAGGAGCAATCCAGCACTACTCGTGCCCGCCCCACTTAATTCAGCCCGAAGGGCGTTTGCCTTTTTGCCTTGCCTTGAGGAACGTTAGTGCCTTGAGGAACGAGGAACGAGTGACGAAAGGTTCTTAGGGTTCCTCCCCGGGGAGAAAAAAAATTCGCCATGCCTTGAGGAACGAGTGCCTTGAGGAACGAGGAACGAGTGACGAAAGGTTCTTAGGGTTCCTCCCCGGGGAGAAAAAAAATTCGCCATCGATTTCCCCCCCGCAAATGCCGCCCTCTGATTCGCTGGCGTTCTCGCTTTTGATTCGTCGGTTGTTCTTTTCTCGCTTTTGATTCGTCGATGTTCTCGCTTTTCATTCGTTAATAAATAAAAATAAATAATGCCCTGCCCCTTGCTGCCCTTTTAGTTCCAGCTGCGCAGTTCGCTTCCAACGCCTCCGTAGACCATACGCCGCCGCAGACCACATAGAGGAAGGTGCCCAAGCCGGCCCGGCTTCTAACTCCGCCATAGACCACACGCCTCCACAGACCACCCCCTTCGCCCGTCCTCCTGGCCCTTAACCTACACTCCTTTTACGTCAGAAGTGTGGAAAATGCAGGGCGCCTGCGTTACCTGCGGAGCCAGTCGGCCGCCTCCTGTGTTGTCTGCCTGCTAAGCTCCTCTAGCCGGGCCTGCGCTGCCGTCATCTCCTCAGGCACCCGGTTCCCCACTAGGTCCCGCTCCGCACCTCTGATACGAGCATGATGCCGTCGAGCGTCGGGCACCGCGACAGCTGCACGTATAGGCTATACGGGTCGCACGACGACGGCACCGCCCTCCCCTCGACCGTCGTCATCCTCGCCCCCCGCAGCTCCAGCGCCACGCGCTCTGGCGTCCCGCCCTGCACCTTATAGTCGGTGCAGGCGAAGGCCGCGGCGCACGGCAGGCCCCTCCGGCTGACGTCGTTGCGCTGCCATGGCCGCTTCCGCTGCGCTGTGATCTTGACGCTGATGGGCGTTAGCAGGATCGTCCCGGCAGGCATCCCGACGAAGTGGAAGTCCTTGGTCGTCTCCGAGGCCAGCACGATGCCCGCCGGCGGCCCGAAGTGCATGATGAGCTCCGCCGAGACGCGGTGGCCGGGAAGGCGCGGTCGGGGATGACGTCCACCGCCGTGTACCCGGCCCCGTTCACAAGCTTTAGCCCCTGGTGCGTGTTCTGGTTCACGACGACCGGCATGCCTGGCACGAAGAGGAAGACGGCCGGCACCGGCGTCGCGCTGTCGTCGCCCTGGCCTAGCATTAGCACCGCCTCCTCTTCCGTCGGCACGCCGTCCCTCCACTTATGCTCGGAGAGGAAGACGCGCGCCGCCGTCCGCCGCCTCTCCCGGAACGCGAGCGCCGCCTCTAGCGCCCTTTGGCTATATCACCAAGTTCACGGTCGACAACAAGACCCGTTCCGGAATCAGCTACCGCAAGCACGTGAAAGGACATATCGTCGTCTTTCCGAACAAGGTGGACGATCTTGTTACCACCGTTCTTCCCCATCCCTTGCTGCAGACCATTGAGAATATCCACGTCTCTTGGAGCGGTTCGGCTAAGCCTGGCTCCGCAGACGTCAGACACCTGCTTCAGGTGCGCAAATCTCGAGTGGCGGCCGCCCTGGCGTGGCTGCAAAGGAACAACCCACTTTACGAGAATATCGCAATCGACCAGGCAGAGATGGATGGCTGGCGGTATGCCGACGGCTCCACTGTTCCGACCGTCATCATGGACCGCATGCGAGGGAGGAACCGTCGACCGTTGAGAGGACTCAAACTGACCACATAGTCCCGGACACTGATCGAGGCTTGGAGGAAAACAGTTTCAGAAGCATCGATGAAATTGTGAGCTCGATCGATGGCACCTTCGTCGACGAGTCTCGCGACTTGGACTGTACTCTATCGACTGAGCAGACTCGACCCTCTCCTGGTGAGCTGGCGACTCTTGTCCCCGACTCGGCTGCCATCGGCCAGGAAGTGGAAACCATATGTGAGACGTCTGCATCCGCCATGTTCCCTCTTGATGGACCGGCTGCCTTTGCGGATACCGATAAGCTGTCGTTTGTGGCGGGCATGGCCAACGCCAATCCGGATCCACGTGGCCGCTCTATACCATGCGTTATGCAGGTCCAAACTACGGGAGATCAGCCGTTTGTCCGAGTAGAACGTGGTGCGGACTTTGCAGACAACCTGCACGAAGATTTCTTCCCTCGAACATTTCCCAAGCTTTTTCCGTGGGGAAGGGGCGGCCCGAAATCGAAGGGCGACTCGAGTCGTAGCCGACAAAGCGACGCTGCCGACCGTCGTCCGAATCACTCGCTTAGCTACTGGGCCAGATACGTATTGCAACGGCATGGAGGCCGATTCGCCACCCATCCTGTCTTTTGTTTCTTAGTATTCAACACCCTCCTTCGCTCCTCTAACCGCCGCATCAGCATGGTCCGTGTCGCTAAAGATTCCTTCCACAGGCTCGAGCAAGCGTATGCGAACTTGAACGAGGACCGACTGAAGAGAGCCGAGGCGGAGATGCGGGAGACAAGGACCACGTCGGACCCTGACATATCGGTCTTGCTTCGCGAGCTGTCGATTTTTGGCCACGCACAGCCGCTCTCGAACGAATCCCGTTTGCTTATGCGGAGGAAGATACAAGCTGTTAACATTTGGGCCGGTATGCCTGCAGTTTGGATTACCATCAGTCCCAACGACATTAATAATCCGATAAAGATGAAGCTTGCCATTCATAGGCTGCACGATTATGACTCTGCAAAGGAGCTTTTGGCCGATCTCCGTGAAAAGTACGACAGAATCGCCCTCAGCACCATGGATCCGGTCAGCTCGGCCATCTTCTTCCACCGAGAAATATCCCTATTCTTTGACAAATACGTGAATACAGGCCGGGAATCGATCTTTGGGAAGATTAGCCACTACTACGCGACGGTGGAGACGAATGAGCGAGGCAGCCTCCACTTGCATGGACTCCTCTGGCTGGAGGGCAACATGCGGTTACCGAACCTGATGGACGACATGGCCAATCCCGCGGAAGAAGCATACCGTGCCCAGGTGATCCGGTATGTGGACTCTGTCTTTCATGAGTGTTTAGACGAAGATGCCGGAAAAGCCGTGCGACAACAGAGGAAGCCCATCGATCCCGTGGAGGAGGTCATGACCAGCACCTCGGCTCTCACTGCGGCCTTCGAAGACGAATCCAACTTCATCGCGTACTGTTGCCAAGTGCACTCCCACACGTACACCTGCCTCAAGTATTCTCTGAAGGGTGTCATCGAACAGGGGGCAGATCAACAGAGACGGACAGCCTGCCGCTTCAAGGCACCGTGGAAGATCGTCGAGGAGACAGGGTTCACAGAGGATGGTCTGCTTCAGATCCGGCGCAATCACCCGCTCGTCAACCGGTATAACAAGTCATTGGCGGTCGGCCTTCGCCACAATCACGACGTCTCGATGATCTTGACCAAAACCAAGGGCCTGGCCATGGTGTACTACATCACGAACTACGCCACCAAACTGGATACGCCGATGTGGAGGCGCATTGCTCGCCACCGAGGTTGCCCGCCAACTCCGCGAAGCCGGTCGTCCGACGTCTCGCGCACCAGATCCCGCCCTGCCCGACAACAGGCAGCAGGCAGTGTTGAACGAGAGCCGTCAATTCCTGATGAGAACGGCAAATCGGATCTTCTCCGAGCGACAACTCTCGGCCGTAGAGGTCTGTTACCACCTCCTTGGATATGATACCGACTTTACCAACGTGCCGCATTGGTCTTTCCTGAACCTGACGGCGCTCTATTGGGCAATCTTTCGCCTATGGTCACATCTCCGCCATCAGGCCGGCGAGCTGACGGACGCTGAACAGCCCGCGGAGACAATCCGTCTGAGGCAAGGAGGGCGAACCCTTCTATACCTAGACGCGTATGCGTACCGCGGCCATGTTCTACGAGACTTATGCCTGTATGACTACATGTCAATGATTCATTTGGTGCGTCGAAAGGTCGGAGTGAAGACGACTCTCATATTTTCTCGATGGCCAGGATTCCGACTGTGACGACTGGATCCAAAAGCTTCGACGGCCCGACCAGTACGCCATCCCGATCTTCCAAGGATACATCAGCGACGACCATGAGGACGATCACCCAGTCTATATTAAGCGGTACGCTCTAAACCCCGGCACCGTTTTGGCTCTATCTGATAGCCCGTGCAGAAATTCGGTCCTACACTTGGCGCTATTCGTCCCTTGGGAGAAGTTTATTTCTGAGAGCCAAGGCGACATAACCGACATATGGACGACGCATCGATCGGGGCTTTGTCCCCGCCTCCGTTTCCATGTCTCCAACATTGGTCTTTTGAGAAAATCTGCCGAAGACGCGCGCAAGGACGCGAAGCTCTGGGCCAGTCGGTCGGAGGGCGACGACACAATTGACGTCGAGTACCCACTTGACGACGGCCGCGATGAAGAAGAGCCTCCAGCGCTGGCTCATCGTCAGGCCTACAAAGCTCTGCTCCAGATTTTGCGAAATGCCGTGCAGGATACGGACGCCACAAAAGACTCACCCGTCCTTGGAGGTCTAATACACGATCTGTGCGAAGAGAACCCGGCTGAAGAAGAGCAACCTTTTGTCCAACGTCAAGAGGATCTGTACCGGAATATGCCCGATCAAGGTGACGCCTTGTGTCAATTCCCCATATCTCGAGACGATGTCCAAGCAGCGGCCAAGGCCCAACAACTATTGCATCTTCGGATGCTGGACGATATTGAGGGTGGTTCTCAGGGCACCGTACTATCCACGAATGGCGCCGACATTGACGATACCCTTGCTCGCTACGGCGATATGGAGTCCGCCGCTGCGCTCCCGGGCAGTGACCTCAATGAACAAGGCCCTCGGATGCTTGTCGACGTCAGTCCGGTCACTAGCTTCGTGGAGATGGGACACACCACCGCGGCCAGCTTTACACTGAACTATCTACAGACCATGGCCCTTCAACTCGTTTGCCTATTTCTGGACAGGTATACGGCCAATCCGGACTCAGCGGGTCAGCATCTTCAATACACCGGCGGGCCGGGTGGCACGGGAAAGTCGAGGATTATCGATGCCCTGAAGGGCGTGTTCGCGGCGAGGAACCAGCCGCATCTTCTGCAGATAACCGGCACGTCGGGCAGTTCGGCGGCCCATATTGGCGGCACGACCATCCACTCGGCCTGTGGGTTAGATTCCCATCGCGATCCAAACAAACCGCCTCCCCCCTTCTCGGAGGCGAAGAAGTGGATCTGGAAACAGAAGCTGGTACTCGTGATTGACGAGGTCAGCATGCTGGGAGGAGCCACTCTGCACAACGTCAGTCGTCACCTGCAGGCACTCCGTGACTGTCCGGACGAACCGTTTGGCGGCATGCCCGTCGTCCTACTGATGGGAGACTTCTACCAGTTCGCCCCGTGCGGAGACAAGCCTACTGATCATCAGACCGCCGGACCGAACAGAGACCCCCCTGCGACAGGCGACCATCTCTCACCACAGCGGCTGCAGATTGTGGCATCTGTTCAAAACCGTGGTGCTCCTCGAAGACCAAGTCCGCGCACGCAACGATCCCCAACTCCGTGCACTCCTGGATCGAGTTCGTAACGGGCGCCAGACCCATCAAGATCTGAGCTTGCTCAACGCCAACATTGTAGGACGCTCGCAAATCACCTTCCACGATGGTTTGCGCGCTATAACGCCGCTGAACCGCACCCGGTGGGCCCTCAACATGGAAGCTGTTGTGGGCTGGGCGCGCTTCAACAAGCGGCACATCCGTATCTTTGTCTCGACTCACACCTGGCGTAGCGGCGCGCTTTCTCCAGACATCGTAGCGCGAACCGTCGGACAAGGCGACGACTCTGCCTGCAAAGTCCCCGGCGTCTTCTTCTACGCCCAGGGCATGCCCGTGGTTGTCAACAAGAACGTCTACACTGGCCTGAAGGTTGTGAATGGGGCCGACTTTGCTGCCGTGGACGTAGTACTCGATCCCAATCACCCGGGATACTGCTTGGCCAATGACGTGACCATCCACTTCGGGCCACCACTCGGCATTCTTCTGCAGTCCGAGGAGACGAATGCCTTGGCGATACCGTCCCTCCCTGTGGGGACGGTACTCATCCGCCCGATGTCACATATACTTGACTCGACTAACTCTCACTTCAAGTTCTTGTCCGCAAGATGCACGCGACGTGGACTGCCCGTTGTACCAGCGTTCGTTCTCACTGATTACAAAGCCCAGGGTAAAACGTTTGTAGAAGTACTCTTGGAGCTGCGTGGAAATCGTCTGACCAATGGCGAACCCTCCAAATGCGATTTCACGAGCCTCTATGTTCAACTGTCCAGGTGTACTACGCTCCATGGCATCAAACTCCTCAGTCCCGTGAGATACCAGGATTTTATTGACAATACGCTAGATCGAGCCATGCTTGATGGAATGCGCAGACTCACAAACTTGGCGGCGCAAACGAGACGGGCATATGAGGGTGGCGATTTAGAAAAGCAGTGACACTGGTCAATCCGATCGTTCACATGTACGCCTTTTCGTGCGTGGAAGAGTCACACCTGATAAGGTGACCGGGCCGCACGCCAATCATCCGGATCTCGCTCCCCTCCCTTCCCAGGACGTAAGCGCTTTTGCTCCTCACAATAATTTACCCACCATTTCTCGAACGCCTGGCGGCTGTAAAGCCATCTCGGCGGCCCTTCTCCTTCCCCGAACAGGTCGAGGATATGGTCGCAGAACATCCACACTCCTTCAAGATGCTGCGGATAAAATGGCCTCCTGTCCTTGCGCGCGACCACGACGGTGCCAACTTGTGACTGCCATTCTGGAGGTGCAAACCCGGAGTCGGCATCAATATTGAGGTACGTAGCAATCTGGTTGTCGAGGTCTGCCTCGTTGACGGACTGAGTCCCCGTCCGATAGAGGACCAGCGGGACCTCGATGAGCGCTGGGACGGAGGGCACCGACTGCGAAAACATATCATGATTCGCAGGGATTGTAGTGGCAGACCAGAGGGGAAACTTGCGTTTCTCGGCCTCGCATCGGACAATGACAGCTTCGACATGCCCCGACTTGCTGTGCGTTTCCCTCAAACCTGACGTACCCATCGGCGGCGAGGCATGCGTGGCCGGCGGGGTGGGTTTTGCCGCTGGCGCTTGCTGGGGCGATGTCTCTGGCTCCGAATCGGTGCCGATGTTGTCCCACTTTGAGTAATCAATCGGAGGCATTGGGTCGATTCTTGAAAAATTGTTACCCTTCACTGCATAATTCGCAACGGTTCGGACTCCTTCGACCTTCAAGATGATGGCTCCTGAAAAGGCTCCATTACGTCCTTACCCCGCCCTAAGCCTATCGTGTTGTGGCGGGGTAAAACGGCGTCCAAGCCACACTATCGGGAGCAAGCCTCATCTTTCCTTTCAACAGACTTGTCAGTGTCAAACCAAACCGAATGCTTCAGTCCCGTTCCTCAAGGCATTGGCGGACCCTGCAAGGGGCCGGTCTCCTGTGGGAGACCTCGTTACGATACATATGGTCTCGTGCACACGTGCCTTGAGGAACGAGGAACGACGTGACGAAAGGATCTTTCTTCCGCCTCTTTCCCCCGCAAACCTTCCACCCCCCTACGCACGGACCGCATGCCGCTCCGTGCCCACAAGCCACTTTCACCGCCACCTGCGGCCCGCTCCGGGCCCACCTTCTTCCTGCTGCCCGCTCCGGTCCATATCTTCCTCGCCGGATTCTTACTCCCGGCCGGCCGCCGGTAACTGCTCCTTTTTTTTGTCCCCGTGCACGATGCCGCGAGAACAGCCAGTCACGGTTTCGCCCGAAGAGGTTCGGCGCACCTTGGGGGATCTTGAATCGCACAGGTCCCGTCGGCGCCGTTCACCGCTTGTCAGAGTTCCCCACGACGAGATCCTCCGCGTCTTGCAAGATATCGACCGCCAGCGCGCTGAAGACCGAGCCCGCCACCGTGAAGCTCAATACAAATATACCGCTCAAGCGCAACCGCCAACTAATCCATCCCCGAGACGACTCGGAGAAGAGCAAGCACCTTCCACTCCACCCCGAACGCAGCCAAGGCGCCCCTAAAGACACACGCAGCCGCCGCCCACTCCATCACCGAAACGACCTAGAGAAGAGCAAGCACCTCCTACTCCGCCTCCGACGCAGCCAAGGCGGTCCCTCGAAAGGCACCCGCAGCAACCAGCCTCCCCGTCGCCGAGTAGACCTAGAGCGGAGCAAACGGTTCGTTCTCCGCCGCCCACGCGGCCTAGGCGCTCCCCCACGAGGCCCCGACCTACGCGAGAATCCGTTCAAGATCAACGAGACTCTGTCAGGTCTACTCTATATCACTATAACGCCGCTTTCCGCGCCAAAGAGCAGGCGTCATCAACAAGATCCTGGTGCGACGAAGTTCCACTTGCCCTTCAGGTAGCGGCTACCAAATCGTTCTACCAAGCGTTCACGGACGAGAGGACGTTGCCGATTTCCCACTGCGTCTTCTGCTACAGGAAGACCCCGCCTTGCGAGCTCTCGATCATGCCGTGGAGGGGTCGATTGTCGCCCTCCCTGCTGCAGGCGACCAGGACTATCCAGACGTGTGACGCTTGCCTTCCGCCGCACGAGCGCGCAGGAGTTGACGTTTGCCGCGAGTGTCGCGTCAGCTTCGACCGTGGACGCCTGCCCAAGGCCTGCTCGGTCAACAACATGGCCATCGGTTGTGAGCATCGGTACCCCGACGAGCTTGATGACCTCTCTCCCGTCGAAGAGAGACTGATTGCCCTGCATGCGCCTTTTGGCTATATCACCAAGTTCACGGTCGACAACAAGACCCGTTCGGGAATCAGTTACCGCAAGCACGTGAAGGGACATATCGTCGTCTTTCCGAACAAGGTTGACGATCTGGTGGCCACGGTTCTACCTCATCCCTTGCTGCAGGCCATTGAGAACATCCACGTCTCTTGGAGCGGTTCGGGTAAGCCTGGCTCCGCAGACGTCAGACACCTGCTTCAGGTGCGCAAATATCGAGTGGCAGCTGCCCTGGCATGGCTGCAAAGGAACAACCCGCTCTACGAGGATACCGCAATTAACCAAGCAGAGATGGACGGCTGGCAGTATGCCGACGGCTCCACTGTTCCGACCGTCATCATGGACCGCATGCGAAGGGAGGAACCGTCGACCGTTGAGAAGACACAAACGGACCACATAGTCCCGGACACTGATCGAGGCTTGGAGGAAAACAACTTCAGAAGCATCGATGAACTGGTGAACTCGATTAATCCCACTCTTGCGGCTGAATCTTGCGATTTAGACTGTACTCTGTCCACTGAGCAGACTCAACCATCCCCTGGTGAGCCGGCGACTCTTGTCCCCGACTCGGCTGTCATCGGCCTGGAAGTTGACACCGTCTGTGAGACGTCTACGTCCGGCATGTTTCCCCTCGACGGACCGGCTGCCTTCGCGGATACCGATAAGCTGTCGTTTCTGGCTGATATCGTCAACGCCAATCCGGTTCGACATGGCAACTCTGTGCCGTGCGTTATGCAGGTCCAAACTACGGGAGATCAGCCATTTGTCCGAGTAGAGCGTGGTGCGGATTTCGCAGACAACCTACACGAAGATTTCTTCCCTCGAACATTTCCGAAGCTTTTTCCGTGGGGAAGGGGCGGCCCGAAATCGAAGTGCGACTCGAGTCACAGCCGACAAAGCGATGCTGTCGACCGTCACCCGAATCACTCTCTTAATTACTGGGCCAGATACGTATTGCAACGGCATGGAGGCCGATTCGCCACCCATCCTGTCTTTTGTTTCTTAGTATTCAACACCCTCCTTCGCTCCTCCAACCGCCGCATCAGCATGGCCCGTGTCGCTAAAGATTCCTTCCACAGACTTGAGCAAGCCTATGCGAACTTGACCGAGGACCGACTGAAGAGAGCCGAGGCGGAGATGCGGGAGACGAGGACTACGTCGGACCCCGACGTGTCGGTCTTGCTTCGCGAGCTGTCGATTTTTGGCCATGCACAGCCGCTCTCGAACGAATCCCGTTTGCTTATGCGGAGGAAGATACAAGCTCTGGACATCCGCGCCGGTATGCCTGCAATCTGGATTACCATCAATCCTAACGACATTAATAATCCGGTAAAGCTGAGGCTTGCCATTCATAGGCTCCACGATTATGAGTCTGCAAAGGAACTTTTGGCCGATCTCCGTGAAAGGTACGATAGAATCGCCCTCAGCACCATGGATCCGGTCAGCTCGGCCATTTTCTTCCACCGAGAAATATCCCTATTCTTTGACAAATACGTGAACACAGGCCAGGAATCGATCTTCGGAAGATCAGCCACTACTACGCCACGGTGGAAACGAACGAGCGAGGCAGCCTCCACTTGCATGGACTCCTCTGGCTGGACGGCAACATGCGACTGCCGAACCTGATGGACGACATGGCCAACCCCGCGGAAGAAGCATATCGTGCCCAAGTGATCCGATACGTAGACTCTGTCTTTCACGAGTGTCTAGATGAAGATGCCGGAAAAGCCGTGCGACAACAGAGGAAGCCCATCCATCCTGTGGGGGAGGTCATGACCAGCACCTCGGCTCTCACTGCGGCCTTCGAAGACGAATCCAACTTCGTCGCGTACTGTTGCCAAGTGCACTCCCACACGTACACCTGCCTCAAGTATTCTCTCAAGGGGTTGCCGAACAGGGTGCGGATCCACAGGGACGGACGGCCTGCCGCTTCAAAGCACCGTGGAAGATCGTCGAGGAGACAGGGTTCACAGAGGATGGCTTGCTTCAGATCCGGCGCAACCATCCGCTCGTCAACCGGTACAACAAGTCACTGGCGGTCGGCCTTCGTCATAATCACGACGTCTCGATGATCTTGACCAAAACCAAGGGCCTGGCCATGGTGTACTACATCACGAACTACGCCACCAAACTGGATACGCCGATGTGGAAGCGCATTGCTCTCGCCGCCGAGGTTGCCCGCCAACTCCGCGAAGCCGGTCGTCCGACGTCTCGCGCACCAGATCCCGCCCTGCCCGACAACAGGCAGCAGGCAGTGTTGAACGAAAGCCGTCAATTCCTGATGAGAACGGCAAATCGGATCTTCTCCGAGCGACAACTCTCGGCCGTAGAGGTCTGTTACCACCTCCTTGGATATGATACCGACTTTACCAACGTGCCGCATTGGTCCTTTCTGAACTTGACGGCCCTCTACTGGACAATCTTTCGGCTATGGGCACATCTCCGCCATCAGGCCGGCGAGCTGACGGACGCCGAACACCCCCCCGAGACAATCCCTCTGAGGCAAGGAGGGCGAACCCTTCTATGCCTAGAAGCGTACGCCTACCGCGGTCATGTTCTACAAGACTTATGTCTGTATGACTACATGTCAATGATTCACTTGTTGCGTCGAAATGGTCGGAGTGAAGATGAGTCTCACATTTTTCTCGATGGGCAGGATTCCGACTGTGACGGCTGGATGCAAAAGCTTCGACGGCCCGACCAGTACGCCGTCCCGATCTTCCAAGGATACATCAGCGACGACCATGAGGACGATCACCCAGTCTATATTAAGCGGTACGCTCTAATCCCCGGGACCGTTTTGGCTCCATCTGACACTGTGTGTAGAAACTCTGTCCTACATTTGGCGTTATTCGTCCCTTGGGAAAACTTCATTTCTGAGAGCCTAGGTGATATAACCGAAATATGGACGAGGCATCGAGCGGGCCTTTGTCCCCGTCTCCGTTTCTACGTCTCTAACATTTGTCTTTTGAGAAAGTCTGCCGAGGACGCGCGTAAGGACGCGAAGCTCTGGGCCAGTCGATCGGAGGGCGACGACACAATTGACGTTGAGTACCCACTTGACGATGGCCGATACGAAGAAGAGCCTCCGGCGATGGCTCATCGTCAGGCCTACAGAGCTCTACTCCAGATTTTGCGAAATGCCGTCCAGGACACGGACGCCACAAAAGACTCACCCGTCCTTGGAGGTTTAATACGCGATCTGTGCGAAGAGAACCCGACTGAAGACGAGCAACCTTTTGTCCAACGTCAAGAGGATCTGTACCGGAATATAGCCCACGATCAAGGTGACGCCTTGTGCCAATTCCCCATATCTCGAGACGATGTCCAAGCAGCGGCCAAGGCCCAACAACTATTGCATCTTCGGATGCTAGACGACATTGAGGGTGGTTCTCAGGGGACCATGCTTTCCACGGATGGCGCCGACATCGACGATGCCCTAGCTCGCTACGGCGATATAGAGTCCGCCGCTGCGCTCCCAGGCAGTGACCTCAATGAACAAGGCCCTCGGATGCTTGTCGACGTCAGTCCGGTGACTAGCTTCGTGGAGATGGGGCACACCACCGCGGCCAACTTTACACTGAACTATCTACAGACCATGGCCCTTCAACTCGTTTGCATGTTTCTGGACAAATATGCGGCCAATCCGGACTCGGCGGGCCAGCATCTTCAATATACCGGCGGGCCGGGTGGCACGGGAAAGTCGAGGATCATCGATGTCCTGAAGGACGTGTTCGCGGCGAGAAACCAGCCACATCTTCTGCAGATAACCGGCACATCAGGCAGTTCGGCGGCCCAGATTGGCGGCACGACAATCCACTCGGCCTGTGGGTTAGATTCCCATCGCGATGCAAACAAACCGCCTCCCCTTCTCGGAGGCGAAGAAATGGATATGGAAACAGAAGCTAGTACTCGTGATTGACGAGGTCAGTATGCTAGGAGGAGCCACTCTGTACAACGTCAGCCGCCACCTGCAGGCACTCCGTGACTGTCCGGACGAGCCGTTTGGTGGGATGCCTGTCGTTCTACTGATGGGAGACTTCTACCAGTTCGCCCCCGTGCGGGAAACAAGCCTCCTGATCAACAGACCGCCGGACCGAACACAGACCCCCCTGCGACAAGCGACCATCTCTCACCACAGCGGCTGCAGATTGTGGCATATGTTCAAAACCGTGGTGCTCCTTGAAGACCAAGTCCGGGCCCGCAACGATCCCCAACTTCGCGCACTCCTGGATCGAGTCCGTAACGGGCGGCAGACACAGCAAGACCTCGACTTGCTCAATGCCAATATCGTAGGACGCTCCCAAATCACCTTCCATGATGGTTTGCGTGCTATAACGCCGCTGAACCGCACCCGCTGGGCCCTCAACATGGAAGCTGTCGTGGGCTGGGCGCGCTTCAACAAGCGGCATATCCGTATCTTTGTCTCGACTCACACCTGGCGCAACGGCACGCTTTCTCCAAACATCGTGGCGCGAACCATAGGACAAGGTGACGACTCCGCCTGCAAGGTCCCCGGCGTCTTCTTCTACGCTCAGGGCATGCCTGTTGTTGTGAACAAGAACAATAACATCTACACTGGCTTGAAAGTTGTGAATGGGGCAGACTTTACTGCCGTGGACGTAATACTCGATCCCAATCACCCAGGATACCACTTGGCGGATGACGTGACCATCCACTTCGGGCCACCGCTCGGGATTCTTCTGCAGTCCGAGGAGACGAAAGCCTTGGCGATACCGTCCCTCCCGGTGGGGACGGTACTCATCCGCCCCATGTCACATACACTTGATTCGACTAACTCTCACTTCAAATTCTTGTCGGCAAGATGCACGCGACGTGGATTGCCCGTCGTACCAGCGTTCGTTCTCACTGATTACAAAGCCCAGGGTAAAACGTTCGTCGAAGTACTGTTGGGGCTGCGTGGAAATCGTGTGACCAATGGTGAACCCTCCAAGTGCGATTTTACGAGCCTCTATGTGCAACTGTCCAGGTGCACCTCGCTTCGGGGCATCAAGCTTCTTGGTCCCGTGAGACACCATGATTTCATTGGCAATGGGCTGGATCAGGCCATACTTGATGGAATGCAGAGACTCAAGAACTTGGCCGCGGAAACGAGACGGTTATACGAGGACCAAGATTTCGAAAAGTAGTGGCAGTATACTAGGTAGCCATCCTGATAGTTTGACCTTCCGTATGTCGGGCCACGATCGGCCAGCTTCTACTCGATCTGCGGTGCTGTCGACCAATCAAGCCTATCCCTTCACCGACCAAGCACGGCTGCTGACATGTCCATCATGTGTGACTCCATTCCCTCTGCTTTACCCTGCTCCATTGCGACCATCATTTGCCTCATCGCCGTCCCACTTGTCCCGCCCGGAGCTCGACCATACACGGACTCAGCAAACATCCGAAGCTGCATCGGGAATCGTGAATCCCCATATTGCTCGATGATATCGCTCTTTTCCACCGCGCTTCGTAGGTCGTGCCATTGCGATGGGGTCATACCGAGTGTCTCACTCTTTCTTCGTCATTGCATCCCACCATGGCGGCAGTAAACCGGGACAACGCTCGACGCGCTCCAGGAAGCGCTTGAAGCCACGCAGCCCGTTGCCGGCACCACCATATATGCTATCCGCGTCTGCTTCGCCTTCAATGTTGTACATGTCCTCAGCGCGCAGTCGGTAAGCGTCGATCAGCAACCCGTAGACATCTCTTTCCGATCGATCATGGAGCCAAGTGCGATTTTCAAGACGCGTGAAGGGCCGGGCGACGCCCTGTTCCAACCCCTTCGGAGGCGACAAATTTGCCGTTGTAGGCCCATCTTGAAACGATGTCGTGGCATCGGCCTGTTTGCCACAAACCTTCTTATGGACCTTCCAGTCTGCCTTCTGGCAATCCCTGGAGCAGTACGGCGTGGTGGAACATTTCGCGCACCTCTTGAGGGCGACTTCAGGCGGCGACTTCTTGCAGCTATTGCACTCAAGGGCCATGGTGACCTAATTCCCATAACCAAATCGTGAAGATTGCGTTCTGAAAAAAGGTCGAATCAATTTGAAGCTCATTTTATGCCGCAGGGAGAAGATGGGGGGTAGCTTAGGCTTAAACGGGTAAGGTGCTGTAATGGGTTCAAGCAGCCGCACTCCCACCTCTCTTCTCCAACAGACTTGTCCAAGAACCAAACCGAATGCTCGCGCTCGGTTATGCCCAACTCTCGTCCCGTTCCTCAAGGCATTGGCGGACCCTGAAAGGGGCCGGTCTCCTGTATCGGCGCTGCGCCTTGACCAGCCACACTACCCCATTTTTTCGTCTACGCAATAGCCAGACTGGTCTACTATTTAGTCACCCGTGGGGCTTAGGTGTTACGCATTAATGTATTGAAATGTCAGTAGCGTTTACGTCTAGGCCCTATAGGAGAAATCCTCCGGGTGAAATACACATACATACACATACTATTTAGTCACCCCCTATTCATACACACCCTAGCCATCACTACTCTTGTGGGGGAAAAGCAAATGAGAGACGATACTCGGCCCTCTTGAGCGGATTCATCCATAGAGCGACTCGCCAATCTGTTGAATCTTCGGGCCGCGCCGCTGAAGGTTTAGGTAAAGAGGTTTCTTCTGCCAGAAGAACAAGATCTTCTGGTCGTCATGCCAGCTCTCCTGCTTGTGGGCCAACTCGAAATCGAAACGGTAGAGAAGGCGACAAATGATTAACCTCATCTCGGAATAGGCCAAGTTCTTGCCGATGCAATCTCGTGGGCCATAGCTGAATGGCTTGAAGACGGCCCGCTTGTCTGCTGCAAAGCGCCCCTCGTATCGAGGATGTGTGGCTGGCAGCCATCGTTCTGGGATATACGACTCGGCCTCGACGAAGTTGGCTGGGTTCTGGAAAGTAGCCCATGGATATACGGAAAGATGGGTCTGATAGAGAAGCAAAGACGTCAGAACAAAGATTGTCAAGGATCGCATCAAAGAAAAAGGGTGTCTCGAGAATTGAAAGCCGGACTCACCCCTGCCGGCACAAACTTGCCGTCCACCATATCGCCAGGAGACTCGGGTAGCAGTCTCGGCCGCGGGCGGATACATTCGAAGTATTTCGTTGATACAGGCCTGCAGATACTCGAGCGAGCGGGTGCTGACCAAGTTGATGTCTTCTTCGGATGCGAAAGCGGCGCGAATCTCGTCGGCGAGCAGGGTGTAGGCCAGTGGGTTCCGCGACAGGTAAAAGCAAAATCCCGACAGAGCTGTCGCCGTTGTTTCACTGCCGGCGACGACAAGTGCATGCGTATTCACCAGGACCTCGCTCTCGCTCATGCCGTCGCCACCATCGCGAGTCTTCTTCATCATGTAGGCTATGATATCCTGGTGTTCACCGGGTGGTTTCGGGCCGTGCTCTAGGCGAGCCTTGGCCTTGTCTTTGGCACCGGATCGGGCCCCGAGTAATACTTTTGCCAACGACCGCCGGCTGGATTTGCCGATGATCCAGCCGATGAGTGGGTAGTACTGAGAAAAGCGTAGAAGAAGTATGCCTTGAACGCCGCGAAAGATGGTCAGTACCCAGGGTGGTATCCGTTGTTCTCAAGCAGGAGAAAGAGTCGGAAAACACCAAGTCGCCAATGATGTCGAAAGTTGTAAAGTTCAGCCATTCGACAATGTTGATGCTTTGGCCCTCGTCGGCACGCCGAGAAAGGCGGTCGAGCATCATATCCACATACTTGATAATGACAGGTTCCTGCTGCGCCAGGGCAGCGTCGCTAAATGCATGGCCCAGCTGTCGGCGTTGTCGTCGGTGACCGTCACGAGAAGCGGAGACGAGAGCTTCGTGTTGTTCTATCGCACGGAGGATGAGCAAGTGGGCATAAAGATCAGGGACTGGAAGACTCTTGATTCTGCTATCTAAGGTGGGAAAGAGGCGAGATCTTTATAGACTGCCTGAATATGAGAATGGAAGGGAATGGTAGTGAATGGAAGCATCTGATCAGATCATCTGGAAGCCACCGATGCGTCGATGATGCCTCCTAGAAGTTTCTGGGGAAATGTGAAACGGACTGTGCGAATAGGGGGTCAGACTGTTGGAGGCTGATATCCTATGTGTGACATGTTCTTTAAACACGGGGGGTGTTTTCTGGAATTCTGCTTTTCCGCCTGGTCGACGGCCATAAACCTCTGGCCATCCAATGGAGCCGTCCAAGGAGACGTGATTTGGTCCGATTCGCACCGCGGGCCATACTTTGATGCAGTTTGGCAACATGTCTCACCCAAGTTCCTGGATGTAGTTGAGTATGCAGCGGGTAACGATGTAAGAGACAGATGCAGCGGTCCAGGAAACTTGGAAAGTGGATGGAACCAAATACGATAGATGCCTTGCGCTACGCCGTAGGCAACGATCTAGATCGCTGTCAGAACACAGCCACGTCAAAGGAGGACTACCCGTTGATCTTGGTGTGGGGCCACAGCAGCCCAACTAAGTGTCTTCGCCACTTAGTTGGCCCAAAAAATCCGGCACAGCCCAAAAAATCCGGCACAGCAGGGTCCTCAATTTGGGGTGCAAAATCAAGGGAAATTCTACGCTTCGCTTCATGGTGCCGTCAATGCGACTTCAAATAGCTAAAATATACATGTGATCAATAGCTGCGGATCACCTAAAGACGCAAGTAACAACGAAAAGTGAAAAAATCACGTCTTTGGGCCTATTTAGGAGCTGCCGCCTTCCAGTCGAAGAGATAGGAAGACCGCGTTTGTGAGTCCAAATAGACGTATTATGTAGTAATTTCGCCTGTTGTGCGTCTCTGAGAGCTATTTTATCCATACCTGTGTTCCTGGAGCGTCTGCTGTATCTTGTTGGACGATCGGGTGCGCGGTCGAGGGCATGGTGTATCGACTACCGCTTCAACCGCTGCTAACGGCGGCGATGAGGTATATTCTCTTGCGTGTCGAGTAAATTGTCCTCGTCTTCATCGTCGGCGCCATCCTCACTATGTTTGTCAAGATCGAGGCCTGTGAAATAGACGGTATCGTCACTGCCGGGCAACGACGACATATCTGTAAGTGGGCGAGGTCGGGTCGCTGCGCGCGCCCTGACATCTCTGGCGGAGTTATTTCTCTTCGTGGTATCATAGAAAAGGATTCCTTGGATGGCTCTTTCTAAACTCTAGCCAGGGCTTAAAGTTCAATGTCTTGACTCTGCCATTGACTAACTGCTTCTTCCCGACTTTATAGTCTTCTCGGATCTTCTGCATCTCTCCACGAACTCGTTTAAGATGCATCCTTATCTCCTGGCGCGTTTGAAGCCGGGTTTGCTTTGCCTGGAGCTCCTCATACTCCCGGGTGATGTCGGCCATGCTGGAGCTCGTGATAAACTCTCCGCGCGGCCTGACAATCTTGCCTCTCTTCATTCGATTCGCATACGCCTGGGTTCGGCTATTCTTATCGCTGACTATGCCTGGGAATGTGACGCCATCGCGATAGACTCGGTGTTCACTTTCGCAAGAACCCGCAAGTTTTCTCGTGATGGCGAGCTCATGAGGGCCCATACCGTTGCCGGATATCATTGAGGGCATCCGCGGCGACTTGGAAACGCGTCTCCGAGGGTAGGAGCGAGGCGTATGCAGGATTGATCGGCTGCTGTTGTCGTAGCTGCTCGTGGAGGATCTTGGTGATCACCGGCGCTGGGTCGACAGGAAAGAGGCCTGTTTTTCAAATGCCGCCATAATGTTATGCCGCGTGAAGCCAGCCTCATATACGTCCTGAAAAGCTGTGAGGAAGTTGACCCGCGAAAATGATATGTTGCCTTCTGCGAGCGACTTCGAAGCGCTTTCTGATGTGCTGACTTTAGTGGCTGGAATACCCCAACATCAAGCGGCTGCATGAGGTGGGTGGAATGTGGAGGAAAATAGCAATGATGATATCAAACTTGATACAATACTCAGCAAAGTCAAGGGTGGTATGCCCTGTAAAGCCATCCACAACAAGCAATCGGTAGATCTTCTCGTCGTCAGGCCGTTGGTTTGGCGGCGCCTCCACGCGACTCATCCCCATGTTGGGGCGCCGAAGATGCTCGTCACAGCCGAACCACTCTTCCAGCGAATTTCCTGACTGTTTTGCTTGCGCTGACGATGCCCAAGACCAGCAGTTGAAATGCCTTGCCCACTCAAGGTGTATCTCTGCGTTGGAAAAGCCAGTTGGCGACTGGGCAAACCGTACGCCTGTCATGATGTCGATGCCGGCCCAGTTGGTGGTAGGGTAATGTTGGAAAACAAGCCAGGGTGGAAGAGAGTCCCCCACTGCGTTAACTGAGGCAATTACCGTGCAGGATTCTCGGTTTGCTGGGTCTAAAACTCGGGGCCGGGTGCTCTTGACTCTAGTGGTGCGCGTGATGAGAACTTGGATGCGTTCTCGCAGGCACCCAATGCGTATTCCGGCCTCGTCTTCATTCCAGATCTCTGAACTGCCAATACGGTAGCTGGTGATGATTTCTCGAAGCTTTGAGTAGAAAATTCGACTTCTTCTACCCCGTGGGCTTCAAAGGACTTCGGGCTCGTTCAACTGCTTTGAGATACGTCTTCGCGATCGCAGGATGACTTCCACGCCAATTGTCAAGCCAACTTGACGAGACCGGGCGGGCATTGGGATCTCGACGCATTCTTATTGCATTTGCAACAGCTTCAAGTTGCTCTCTCGTGGCGGGCATGCCGGTGCGTTCCATCCACTGTACATACGCAACCAGGGCGTCGTCTTCGTCCTCCGTCAGCGCCAATGGACGCCCTGGAGCACGGGAAAGGGGTTTCTTATGAAATTAATGGCTCTCTGTACGGATGAGCTCTTCACATTGTAACGGATGGCCGCATCTCGCACGGAAAGAGGCGTTCTTTTTGGTGTTGTTGAGCGACGAACATCGGCTCTGGGGTCGCGACGAGACGCCAGAACGGCTTTGCTGCCTCCAGGGTAGCCATGTTATCTGTCATAATGTATTCCGGCAAAAGATACGTAAATAAAGTCAAGTTGCGCGAGAAAACGCGGTTGAGATGCATAGGGTTGACGTTTTGGAGGTGGGCTGCTGTGCCGGATTTTTTGGGCTGTGCCGGATTTTTTGGGCCAACTAAGTGGCGAAGACACTTAGTTGGGCTGCTGTGGCCCCACACCAAGATCAACGGGTAACTTAGTGCAGTTACCAGCAAGAATAACAGGCCAAGAGTGTGCAAAAGGTTGCCATCGTACTGCCAAAGGCCCCGCCAGGAATCAAAGCCGATCTTGCTGAGGTCGGTAGAACTCATTGCCGAGGAAGTTGCAAAGAGTTGCTAATAAGCGGACAAGAAAACTGTTAGCTTTCGAGAGCCGAGTGACGAGACTCTCCGCTCCCCAAGGTGCGTCATGGCTTATATAGACTACCGTACAGGCCATCTCGCACGGAGTCGAGCCCGGTACCCGCGGTGTGCAAGTGACGCGACATCATTGGGCGCAGGCCACTACCGTAGAAATTCAACAAATTCGTTTCACTTTTTAGCGCTTGGGCCGGGGAGCTCCCCACAGGTTTCAGCCCCACCAAATTTGTATACGAAAGATACCTGGCCGTGCCGGCGTTGTGCGCTGAGTTGTCAGACTGGCAGAGGCGGGCCCGGCTAGATGTACATTCTGTATACAAATTTGGTGGCGCTGAGACCTGTGGGGAACCCCCCGGTCCAGGCGCTAAAAGTCGAACGAATTTGCTGAATTTCTACGGAGTACGTACGGTATGCGTGTTCCTCGTGTCTCAGGAAACGGGTCGAGAACTACCCGTAGTGGAACACGTGGACCAATGACGACTTGCAACCCCATGTTACCTATGCAGACCAGAAACATCAAAAGCACCATTCATAAACAGGAACATAAATCCATCACAGACGACTATGATGGCCGATCTTGAGGCACTTCTTAGCCGAGAATACGAATACTGGCACACCTTTCGTTGCACATCGCGCATAAGGCGGGGGTCACCGGGTGGAGAAACTGGAGATTTCATACCCACCAAGGCCACCATTGTCTCGCACTTGGGGTCATGCAGAACGAATCCGCTAGGATAAGGAGCATGCCAGTGCCCACATGTGCACATGCATGCTATTCATACTCCGCGGGGTGGGTGCAAGTGCTGGCTCAGGGTTGGCGATATTTGGATCGTTAGCCGCTAATAACTCCATTCCCAGAGTACGACCAACCATATCTAAAACAAACAAACCGCTTACAAATACGCCGCTCCTGCATCTTAGATTCGTCAGTTTGGGGTTACATTCAAGCTCTTGCTCTTCCGTTGCCCAACATATTCACCTCCGACCCAGCACCTCACATAATACACACCCGGTGAAGCCGAGGCTGGAGTCTGACCAGTCTTTCACTTCAAGAGTCACGAACGCCCGAGGCCACAAGGCATCGCCGGTTATTGGATGCTCAGCTTCAAGTTGTCGAAGCATCTGAAGCGTTCCGACTGACTTCTTACTCCGCACGAGCAATCCAGTACGTGTACGTGTCGCCATGGTGCATATGGTAAAGCTAATCCAGAGTCATTTTAGAGACCTTCAAGATGGAAACAAACAAGAGAAACGACTTGCGACCTCTTGGCTCAGCCGCCAGGTCACTCATAGCCAGGTGTTTCACCAGCTGCGACCGTCACTACGGTCTTAGCACGGCCAGCTGCCAAGTCTATGACACAGCTTGGGTAGCTATGGTCATGAAGATAACTGACAACGAGAAGCGGTGGCTCTTCCCGAGAGCTTCTACTATTTGCTAGAAATACAGGCGGATGATGGCAGTTGGGGCTCTCCTCCTGCAACACAAACCGCAGGAATCCTGGATACCGCTTCGGCCCTGTTGGCTCTCCTCAAACATGTCAAAGAACCACTCCAAGTGAACAATGTGTCCCTTGGAGAGCTGAGGAAACGCATTGCAAGCGGCTCTAAATCACTTCAGAAACAATTGGAAGCATGGAACGACGTCTTGGAGGTTAATCACATTGGTGTTGAGATGATTGTTCCCTCCTTGCTCAGTTATCTCGAGCAGGAAGACGCGCCGTTAAGTTTCGACTTCGCTTGCAAAGCGGTTCTCATGGCGATGAACAACGAAAAAATGTCCCGTTTCAAACCAGAGTCCTTGTACGAGCAGAAGCCATCGTCTGCGATTCACTCGCTCGAGGCCTTTGTCGGCAAGATCGACTTTGACCAGGTTTCCCATCACCTCTGGCAAGGTTCCATGATGGCTTCGCCCTCGTCTACTGCCGCCTATTTAATTCACGCATCACACTGGGACGAAGAAGCCGAAGTGTACCTACGCCACGTTATCAAGGCCGGTGCTGGGCATGGCAGCGGCGGAATCCCCGGAACATTTCCGATAACGCACTTTGAGTACAGTTGGGTAAGTCAATATTATCAACTTGCTGAGGTGGGAAGAGCTGACAGTTTGATCTAGGTTCTGGCGACACTACTTCGGAGCGGCTTTTCCAAGTTGGATCTAGAATGTGCGGAACTACAATGCATGGCAAATACCCTCCGCAAGGCCTTTGAAGAAGAAGATGGCATCATTGGGTTTGGTAAATCCCGTCCAACTTACCTACACTGGCAGCGTTACAAAATATGGTTGTGTGCTGACCTAGCAATAGCCCCGTGCGCCCCGGACGTGGATGATACAGCCAAAGGCCTTTTGGCTCTAAGCCTGCTGGATCACCAAGTTAGCCCGGATCGGATGATTGAGGTCTACGAAGGGCAGCATCATTTTATTACATTCGGCTCAGAACGGGATCCGAGTCTCACTTCCAACTGTCACGTTCTCGTCGCCCTTCTCCACCAGCCAGATGTTTCTTGTTTCCATTCGCAAATCTTAAAGACGACCAAATACATCTGTGGACACTGGTGGTCCAGTGATTGCCATGTGAAGGACAAATGGGTAAGTACATCCATTCCCGGGACTGGTCAGTTTATCTCTGACACTGGATCTCAGCACCTGAGCCACCTGTATCCGACCATGCTCTTAGCAGAAGCCTTTACACTGTTCCTTGAACTCCTAGACGGTGGTGCCCTTTCTGATATTGTCAGTCAGGAACTTCATTCGAGTTTGCATTTCCTTGTTTCAGGCTTGCTTCCGGACGCTGATTGAGCAAGAAGAGGACGGCTCTTGGGGCGGGCTCCCAGAGCAAACCTGTTATGCCATCCTGACGCTAGCCGAGGCCCGAAAGGTATTATTTTTCCGGGATCTGCTGGCCCAGATACAAGCTGCTATTGACCGTGGGGTTCTTTTTCTGGACTCCCGTGATTACCAGCGAATGGATCACGGTTGGGCCTCGAAAACAGCTTATCGAGTTGCTTTTGTCGCAGAAGCGTATGAGATTGCCGCTCTCAACGTTCCTCATGTGAAGCAGACCATTGGAGCTGTTGGCCATAGTCTCCCACCTGCTCTCACCGCGACAGAGCTGAATGGGTACACGAATCTGGTGCGCCAAACGCCACTATTTTCCAGGCTCCCGGACTGGGTACTCCGAGGGTCGCTGGTCGAATCAAGCCTTTTCATACCGCTTCTTCGAGCCCAACGACTCAAAGTGTTTGACAGAGACGAGATTCACATAGCGGAGGACAAGTATCTAAACATCATCCCCTTTACGTGGATTGGTTGTAACAACAGGGTTCGTACTTTTGCGCCTACATCATTGCTCTACGACCTTATGCGGTTGTCTATGCTCGGCTTTCAGATCGACGAATTCATCGAGGCTGTCGCTTCGCCTGCTATCAAAGATGTCTCTATCCTACATGAACTAATCGATCAGATCATTGACGGCACGGTTCAACAGCAGAGCAGCGATCCATCCAATGACACGAATCGCTTCAAAAATGCTCAATCAACCCCCGGTGACCTTGTCGGAAGCAATTCGCTAGCGCCCCAGGAAGTCAGCGTTCCTTTGACTCGCTTCGTGGCATATGTTCTCAACCACGAGTTGGTTTTGACCAGCAGTGCTTGGGATCGCCAGAACTTGCATCATGAGCTGCGAGCTTTCTGCATGCCCATGCAACCCAAGCTGAGGAAAATTCACGGTTTGAGCAGCAAGGGCTGCAGAACAACACTGTCTACACATCCGCCATGCGATCCTTTTTCAACTGGGTCCGCACAACAGGAGCAGATCATGTGGCGTGCGCATACTCATTCGCTTTCGCGTGTTGCCTCATCTCGTCCTCATTAGGCTCCGGCACAGAAGTGTTCCCCACTGTGACGGAGAAGTACATTGCAGCTGCAGCCGCTCGACATCTGACGACGATGTGCCGCATGTACAACGATTTCGGCTCTGTAGCTCGTGATACCGCAGAACACAACGTCAATTCTGTCCATTTCCCTGAATTTGGGCATTACTCATCCGTATCACCCGAGGAGCCAACGGAAAAGAAGCACGCTCTTGCTGTGTTGGCTGATTACGAACACGACTGTCTCATCCGTGCGCTTGATTTGCTTGAGCAACAGTCTCTGAGAACACAGCTTGGGCCGTGCGAATCCAGGGCTTTCAAGAAAAGGAAAATGAGTGTCATCAGATTGTTTTGTGACGTCACAGACATGTTTGACCAACTTTATGTTCAACGGGATCTTTCGAGCAAGATCAAAACCTAAGCTTGCGCATCAACCCTTGGAGTTATAACTAAAATACTACGTCACACCTTGCACTTTAGGGCTGTGGTGCAAGGCGTACAATCAGCCAAAGGCTGCGAGTCTGCGGACCAACAGGTCAAGCAGTCGCCGAAGGTTGAGCAGTCAAATTATCTACAACCATAAAACTATCCCGTGCATTATCTACGCCCTGGATCATTTTCGTAACAGTTCTTCATCGCGAGATTCGCGAGCTGCATCACGTGGAGTTATGCAGACCCGTGGTCTGTCTTGTAGGGTTCTGTGCGAGAACCTGTTGTCTGCGAAGTTGCTGATATCTCATCTTCATCTTGGTGCCTCTGGCGGAAACTCGTAAGTAGGTGATTGTGGTCGAACGGCGCATCGAGGAACGTCTTCACTCGCGACACGGCCACGTAGCTTAAACCGGTCTGAAAGTCACGGCAGGACAGGTCCGTAACGATCAAGTCCTCGGTGATGCTTTGTGACTTGTGCACGGTGATTACCTAGCATACGATCAGGGGAAACTGGGTGCGAGAGCAAAGATTGCCTCCGATGAGGAAGTCCCTCTCCACTGGGAGAATCGGCACAATTTTCCTGCCGTCGCTGGTGGTCAAGCCGTCGCGAATGGTCAAGACCACCGGTCCGCCGTACCTGTCAAACTCCATCATTATAACACAGCGCGGGTCTCGCGTCAGATCGGCCCCAGGTGCCCAGGCGATATCGTAGACCGTACCGCGAGCGCACTGCGGAGGCCAATTGGCTGCCAAAGGTTGGACGTTGTGACGGCCGGGCACCGTCACACCCCCTTGCATCATGACTCACATATTGTGGAGCCAACGGCCCACACTTACGGAAGACATAAGAGCAGGGTGGTTTTCCATATACCTAGTATTGCAAGGGTCTTTCCATACAAGGTACGAAGTACCTTCGTACGGAGGCAGTTTTCAAAAGTCGTTGCTGACGCTAAAATAACCCCTGTTGTTGGCAGGGCTCGAGCATGAGGCAAACTGGGAACGTCGTTCAACCGGTGTGTCGTATTATGCTATGAGGATTGTCTATCTACTTGGGGGGACTAAAATCCGTCCCGATTCCCGCGCATGTCAAGTCATGCACGGGGGGTGCGTTGAGTAGCAAAAAGTCCGTTGATTCGCAAAAAAAAAATAGTGACTTATAGTTTAGTGAGCGGTCCACACAAATTAAGGTACCCCCCTTTTCCTACATATCCGCGTTACAAGAAAAACAACCCCGCATTTAACGCTAGATGACGCGCGATGCGCGTTAGACATCATGGTCTTTACTAGTACATCACAAGACTAGTTAATTAACGATAACAATTACTACGATTTTACTATCTATCCCTTGCAGTATGGCTCTCTAGAAGGTAACTCATCTATTATCAATACGTGGATCGATTCAGAGACCGGCTTGCCTCATTTCTCGCGCTTTACACCCGATAACCTCGAGACGCGAACCGTCGCAGCAACCCAGCTCTATCACGATGGGTTTTACCGTACAATCATGGCAGCTTCTGCTGCATTACGCGTACCCTACTATCGGTTACGGTCTCGTATTCAAGGCAATCATCCAAAGGCTACCAATGGAGGCAACCGTACACTTCTTTCACCGGAAGAAGAGAAGGAGGTACTATGCTGGGCGCATCGCCGCATCACACAAGGCCACCACATCCAGCAACGCTCCTTACAACAACATGCCAACGCGATACTCAAAGCTACGGGCCGAGGTAATACTACAGCTAGTGGGTCATGGGCTCGACGATTTATAAAACGCTACAAACAATATTTCCATCGTCGAAAGGCAGCTTCTGAGACGCAAAGCGTAAAGTCATGCAAGACCGTGAAGTCCTCTCTCGATTCTACCAAGACTGGAATAGGTACATCGATAGAAATAGCATCAGACGCGAGAATATCTGGAACTTCGATGAAACAGGCTTTATGGTGGGGTATTTACATACCGGGACGTATATTTGGACCTTTAACGAAGTCAATAACCCCGTCTTAACAGACTCTCGGGATACGGTCTCGATTACTGCTATAGAGTCAATCTCCGCGACCGGCAGCAGTATCCTCCTTTCCTCATCCTTCCAGGGCACAGATCCCGGTCCGTTGGGTTAACGATAACCTCGATAAAGGCATAACAATTACAACAAGCCCAAAGGGCTACGTCAACGATATCCTTGCCCTCGAATTCATCGACCACTTCGAGCGTCACACCCGGCCCCAAGTCCCCGAAGAGGAGCGCCTTGTCTTAATGGACGGCTGCGAGAACCACTTTACATACGAATTGGTGCATTTTTGCTACCAACACAATATACAGCTGTTCCCGTTACCGCCTCATGTGACTAACCTACTCCAGCCGCTTGACGTTGGGGTCTTTGGTCCCTACAAGCACTGGCATCAACAAGTGCTATATCGTGAGATTGCAAACGGAGCTACTAACTTCAACAAGACCGACTTCCTTTTCCATCTTCAAGAGATGCGTAACCGAACCTTTAAGCGGCCTACGATCCTATCAGCCTGGGAGAAATCTGGTCTCTTTCCATTCAACCCAAGCGTCGTCCTCGACCAGTTGCAAGATGCGTTATCCTCATTAACCGACTCTGTCCGCGAACGAGAACTCCCTGGGTTCGTTGAGGAAGGCACGCCAATAGATGACGATAGTAGTAACGAGGATGCATTCGAAAATATGCGCTCTACACCACAGACGCCAACTTCTCGATCGATCGAAGCGGTTCCAGGCGGTAGAGGGCCAGCAACGCCCGTTACAGTCCATCGTATTGACTGGAAGACCCTCAAAACACCACGGCTAAATCTTCACGACATCCACAAATGCCATGAATTCATCAGACTACGAATAGACCTCTCTATTGCATCAGGTACGCCTATTACGCCGTCAGTTGCACACGTACAGGGAAAAGTACGTAAAGCAGCGCACACCCTCGCACTCAATGGTATCACCGCCACGGATGAGATGAGGCGTCTCAAAGAGAATCAGCTTAGACGATCGAAACTAGCAGAAGGGACATCGATTGTAGGGAAATTCGGGCCATTAACCGTCCACGATTCGAGACTACGTGTCGCAAAAGACGAATACAACCGACTGGCTGCACAGGCTGACGAGGCACGAAGGCGGCTTAAAAAGGAAGTCCGTGAAGAGGCTGCGTTTTGCGCCGCTGGGTTAGGCAGGTTAAGGGTACCTGCCGAGATAGTATCTCGAAGTCATCAAACAAGCAGCTACGGCTCCTTGGCCGCGACAAACGAGGTCTTCGAAGCTACATGGATAGTATCGAGTCGATATGTTACCAATACGCCGCTTTCCGTGCCCTTGGCGATCCAGATCGATCGACTGACTGTCCTTTCGCTTGGATATGGTACAATGACATTACGTACACTCGAAGCAGCGTTCTTACTTGGCCCAAAGACTACGATCGCGAGGTCGTACAGAAAGCCGTTGAATTGGTTATCTTAGAGACCCAAGAGAGGTCTACAGCACGAAGGGCGCTTACGTTTGAAGTTGACGGAATTGAGATTACTGAAGAGATCGTTATTGACGGGCTAACCGAGGAATTTGAAGCTATTATAAAGGAGGAATAGATAGGCAATCTAGCATCGTGAGACCATCAATCTAGCTGTATGTGATGGTAGGCACCTATGTGCCTACAGATACGCATGCGCACAAGCTGTAGGCTGAGTCACAGTCACGACAGGTAGGGTAACCGGTGATGACTTCAATTGTAACTAACTAGGAAGAGGAAGCTATTCACAAGAAACGGAATGTGCACCTGGTAATGGGGCATGCAGCCGGGGCTGCGTGCCCTGATCGCGGGGTAGGGTGTCACGTGGGAGTCGTGCATGAACCGTGATGGTATCCCGATTGCACGGGTTACTCAGCAGGTTAGTATTCCAACACAGGCAGTCTTTTCTTTTCGTGATGGAATCCGAAGGCTGCCGTGCCTGCCCTTCATTCCGGTCTCAATGAAGGGAGGCTCGTCATCATGGAGTCGTTTGTCGTTAGGTGGTGTCTGCGGTCACGGGTCGTTGTACATATCCTTCCACTCGAATCGTCAGCCTGTTCGTCTCAATCAACCGTTCCAAAGCACGGTTGGGTGCTGCTTGGTCATCGCATCAGCCGGGTTGTCATCCCCATTGATCCAACGGATCTCTGCCATCTCGCGCTGCTCGTAGGACTGCCTTAGCGCCATGATATCAATCATGAGTCGCTTCTCTTTCGTGGTCCCGAGCTTTACGAGGCATTCGTATAGCGAGTATGAGTCGGTGCAGACAATGAGGGGAGTCGGGGGTAGGTCCAGCTGCTTGACAATAGCCTGCAGGGTGGTCGCGATGACAATGGCCATATCGAAACCTTGGACCATGCCGTAGATCTCCGAGGCTAGCACGCTCCGGGTCACTCGCTTGCTCTTCGTAGATGACCAGTGCAGGACATTGCCTCTGATCGTGAAATCAGCAGGGCTCTGTTCCTCGTTGGCGAGCACAATAACAAAGCCCAGTTGTGAGCTTAGGTCTTTGTTGTTCGCGAACGAACCGTCCGTGAATACCATTAGCTTCGCAGTCGAAAGGCCAAGGGAACATAGCGGAGTCCTCGTTGCAGGTTGTCGGTCTGCCATTGTATCCGCTTGTTCAGGGTCTTGTAGTCCGGGGCTTCCGGCTGCTGCACTTGTGCTGCGACTGAGTAGTCGAACGTGGCCTCGGGCTGGCAGATTGATGCGATATATGCTCCGCGCGCGCGCTGTTGGGCGTATTGCTGCGCGCGATCCGTGGAGGAGAGAAAGATGGTGGCTAACTTCTGGCCTTGGCCCTTCTGCTGGATGATAAGGTCGTCTTTTTCGGCTAGAAGTGTGCAACCATTAAACTCGAGGGGAGTCGTGGCCGATAGCTGGCTCCTTGGTTTCGAGCGGAGCTTAGCCTTCTGGATCTCTTTTTCTTCTGCGGCCGCGAACTCAGGGGAGGCGAGGAGGAGGGTGTCATCCGTCTGCATAGCGACCATGCCGAAGCCGGCGGCTTGATCATTGGAGATCAACAAGCAGGGGTCAAAGGTGGAATGTGTCATACCGAGGCGCTCACGATGATGCCTATAATATGTCACGAACCAATGGAGACCTGACTCTGCTATGCCATACAGGGGAAGGATGACATGGATGATGGCGTCTGGGGGATAGCGGGGCACTAATTCCGCTGGGAGGCGTGCGAGTATCGTACGATTCAGGGGGGTTTTGGACTGAATATACGCTTGTGTGATATCACGCAGGAAGACGGAGGCTTCACCTGCGAGGGAGGGGGCAATTGAGAGGAGTAGCCGCTGTGCTGCCCGTTGCACGGTCGGCGACTGGGTAAGGATATTCTCTTTATCACGATCGTTATAGCCTTGAATGACGAGACGGGATTTCTCGTAGGCCTTGTGGTTGGTCCGAGTCCTTTAACTTCGCGGACCATGCGTGCTTTAAAGAGTCTTTGGCCTTTGTGGGCCACGGGGTCGAAACGAATGAACTCAAACACACCCTGTGCGATTAGGTTGTTAATCTCTTGGGTATCGGACTGTTCAAAGGGGGCACCTGGTGTGGTGATGTGGCCTTCGCGGCGCAATTGAACAGCGTGATATATAGTATATATCTCGTACCGCCCCTTAGCAGAGACCCGATATTTAAAGGCGGCTAGAATAATAGTGATTAACTTCCTTCTTTGACAGGTTGGCTACGCCGGTCTTGGGCTTGTTCTTGGAGCCTTTGGGGCGTCCTCGTCGGCGTTGTTCAGGTAGGAGCACAGGGGCAGGGCATCATCTTGATCGGGGTTAGGGGTGCATTGGGGTCGACTCGTCGGGGATTTGGCTGCGAGTCGTCGTGGGGTTGTGATGAGGGGCCTGAGGATCACGGTGGTATTTCTTGACCGCTGTGATCCTGAAGTTGCGGGGCCATTGACATGATTGATTGTTATTTCGTGGCCGTTATTGCCGATAACGATCCACGGGCCGGTCCAGCCGTCAGCCTCTCTCCACACGAGGACCTCGCTCTGCAGGGAAGCTCTGCAGCGCGCTCTACATTTGGTCCATTCCTCGTGTTGAGGGCATCTCTAACCTGACGGGCAGCGGCAGCACGGTGCAGAGCTGCCATGGCTTTCCGAATAGCCTCTGCGCGCTTGATCATAGGGGGAGAGGGCGGTGAATCGTGGTTGATTCGTGGGTATGCGCCGAAGACGAGGAGGGTAGGGACAAGGCCATCCGGGCCGGCTGTGTCATTGACTGCCTTTACAGCCATTTGGAGGAGGGCATCTGGGCTTCTCGACTCACCCAACTCTGCTTGGAGGATATCGTAGGCGCGGCGGAGGGACGTGGCGCATAAAGTCCGGGGGGCCTTGGTAGGTGTCTATCCACAGCATCCGTAGCGTTTCCCAGGTGTCTCGGGCGGTCATCGAGGGGAGGAACCTGGCGCCTTGGAACGCTGTGGCTTCGTCGATCACGTGTAGCACAGGCTTTCCGCCTATTTGGACTACATCCGCGGTTATCTCGAAATTGAACTCGCGGTCGTCTCTAAGGGTAAACCTGAAGCGTTGGGGAGGTGCCGTTGATTTGACAGTGGTGGCACATCCTCGTGATCTCACGGATTGACTGCTCATCAATATCATCATGCCCGGCACATCTAAGCAGTCGGTGGAGTCTAGCTGTGGCCGGGTGACCGAATCGTCGGTGAAGTCGTCGCAATTCGCGTTCGGTCAGGAATACTCTCGCAGTCTCTTCTTTACCTAGATGGAACCATGCGTGGCCCCATTTACGTACTGCGGGAACGCGAATGTCATCGCGGACGACTTCGTTGGTCTGATTGTTGAAAAACAAGCCTAGCCGGTCCATATCGGCTAGGAGAGGAGGAACGGGTCTTAGTGGGAAGAACGTGGAAATCAACGGGCCCGAATGCCGTGCGAATCGCGGTCGCACCGACAGACACAATCCGGGGTCCATCTCCAAAGGAGATGCCTGCCTGGCCTGCGCGGGTGGTATCGAGGGTAGCGCAGTGGTCTTCGCGCTGCCAGGCATGGAATTGGTCTAGGCCAGCGGTTGAAACGTCGGAAGCACCTGTGTCGAGCATGATGCCCTGATAACGCGTTGTGTAACGGTCATCGACAAGGAATTGTTGTGCCGGGGCCTTTTGAGGAGCGCTATAGGCATCTTCCTTAGTCAGACGGTGTAAAACAGCGTAATCTGCGAGGAATGATTGCGTGAAGAACAGCGAGCCAATCGCTGGGTCTTCATCGTCAATTTCATCGGCAGTATCATAGTCAGGGACAGGGTCTCGTCAAGTTCATGACCTTCGAATTCGGCGAGGAACATGGCGAAGTCCGGGGTCGTGTCGGAGGCATTGTGGGCATTAAGGAAATACATCCGTGATTGTTTCCGTTCTTCTATGGTATGCTTGGTAGACCAACAGCCAGCTTTGCCGCAGATGAAGCACACCTTCTTTCTCTGCGGCTGTCGTTTGGGGTTCGCGCTGTTATTGTTGCGGAAGGGGGGTCTATTCTGTTGATACTTGCGGTCGGTATACCATTGGGTGCTACCGTTGTCCGTGATCGCAAGTTCAATAGAGGCGCGGAGGTCGGCAAAGAGTTGTTCGCAATGGGCGGGGCTTTGTACAAGGCTTGCTTGAGCTCAGGCGTTCCACGGCAAGCGCGGATGACTGCGTTGCGGAGGTTGCTTTCGCCAGCTATTTCCGGCCCAATCGCTCGTTGACACAATTGGAGCTTGTCAAGCATTATATCAAGCACAGCGTGGAGGTCCTTGTCACTGTGCTTGCTACGGACACTGTTGAAGGTGATAGTTGACCAGTCCGTATGGTAATGCTCCAGATTCACGTTGGTATCGAAATGTTGCTTAAGTTGTCGGTAAGCGGCGGCGAACGTGAGGTCTGGGTCAAGATAAAGGTCATAGTAGGTCTTTGCTCGACCTGTAAGGGCGCGGGGGAGAAAGGCGTGTAGCTGACTCTCGGGGACTTCAACCGAACGGCAGGTGGTTAGGAAGTTCCTGATCTTATCGTCAAGGAGATCGTAAGGTTGACCTGAGTAGGTATCTTCCTTATTCCAAATCTTGACGAAGAGGGCGAGAGTCTGGGCATTGGTCGGGGTGTTCGGCACGTCTCGTGGTGGCAATGTGCGGTATGGGGTGTATTGTGGCGGATCTGACTTGGCTCTTGGGAATCGCCACTGAATTGGGGTAGGTAATAGGGGGAGCTGGTGTTACCTGGGGAGCTATCCTTGTGCGGTGAGGGAAGGTGTAGCTCGTCGGAGCGTTTGTAAAAGCGGTTGGGGTGACGGATTGAGTGGCCTGCTGGACAGGTTGTACAGGCGGTTGAATAGGTGGTGAGAGGGGCAAAGGGATCGCTGCGGGCACGGGTTGTGCTCCTTCGTCGATGGAGGTGACCGGGGTATCCTGGGTTTCCCAATATTCTTCGGTGACGAGGGAAGCGAGAAGATAGTCATGTCGGCATCTTCTCAAGGGGCCAGTGATCACTTCCTTCGTACGAAGATAGTTGACGAATGCAGCTCGAATCGTTGGCTCAATCCTTCCGAAGAGTGCACTATTCCATCCTTCGAAGTGCTCTTGGAACATAATAAGAGTGTCGATTCTTCCTACATTGGCTCTCTCATAGTCGGTCCACGCACGGGCGAGTTGTGTGATCAGGTGGCGTGGCGTTGGCTCTTCCTCTGGGTTCACAGGGGTATGCCAGAGGGATAGGTCAATGTCTGACATGTCGATCGGTATGCCAGTATATTTGTCCAGCTATCCTTGCACTCTCTCCTGGCTTGGGGGATCGCGAGCAATATAGATAGTAGGGACGGGGGTATTACTACTGCCTCCCGGGGCACTGCTGCTAGGTCCTGCAGACATAGTGTCGGAGGTGAATTGTAGTAATCAATTGTACTGATTAAAGCACAATCGCGAGGGAGTCGGAATACGTTGCTGACGCAGCTAAGCTATGTCTCTTTCCTTTCCTTCGAACGGTCGGTGAGTTGCTCGGCGGAACGGCAGTTAGGAATAGCAATAGGTTAGCCGTAGGTTCTGCTTCTTTCTTCCGAACGGCACAGTGAGTTGAAGGCGGATCGGAATAAGGAGTGTCTCCTGCTCTTAGCACAAACTTGTCGTCTTCGAACGGTCGGTGAGTTGCTCGGCGGAACGATTCACGGAGTTTGTCTCTTCTACCCGTAGAGGAAAAGTATCACTTTCTCCGAACGGCACGGTGAATTGCAGGCGGATCAGATCGGCGACTCTTCGTCTACCTTGCTGCTCTGTGGCTCCTTCGGGACCTGGAACCACTGATCAGTGATGGTAGGCACCTATGTGCCTACAGATACGCATGCGCACAAGCTGTAGGCTGAGTCACAGTCACGACAGGTAGGGTAACCGGTGATGACTTCAATTGTAACTAACTAGGGAAGAGGAAGCTATTCACAAGAAACGGAATGTGCACCCGGTAATGGGGGCATGCAGCCGGGGCTGCGTGCCCTGATCGCGGGGTAGGGTGTCACGTGGGAGTCGTGCATGAACCGTGATGGTATCCCGATTGCACGGGTTACTCAGCAGGTTAGTATTCCAACAGTATGTCTAATTGTTGTACGGATAAGTGCGTAAATCGACGTGGTGGGGCTTCGTGCGTTTATGGGGGGAAATTAGGTACATAATCATACTAGTTAATTGGCGGGGCCGCTATGTACTCTTTTTTGCGAATCAACGGACTTTTTGCTACTCAACGCACCCCCCGTGCATGACTTGACATGCGCGGGAATCGGGACGGATTTTAGTCCCCCCAAGTACAAGGGAGAGGAAGTCACGAAGCTAGCTTTGTGGCCTCAGCCGTACTCAGCCGTACACGTGACTGTGTACGTAAGCTAGCTAGGTGAGTGCAATAACGTAATCTACCCCTTCCTGGCCACACCCCTACCTGCTCAAAATTTCCCACCCAAGCGACCCGTACCTCATGGCGCGACCAACCGAACACAACAGACGGCAATTGATTCCAAGAGACAAACAAGCAAGTAAATTCAGACCTGTCTATCTATTACACGTCCGGGCATTATGTTCAAATGACCTGCATTTACTACACCGTGGTGGTGCACGCCGTCTTGGGACGCACAGCTCTTCTTCTGTCTGCCGTCGGGCCTGCTCCTCGATAAGTTGTTGCCCTGCCTGCTCATCCTCCCTTGCCCTCAGTCGCCTAGCACGTTCCTCTTCCTTTTCTCGCCGTCGCTTTATCTTAGCCGTGCCTTCTGCGACAGACAGAGCACCACCATCACCAATATACTCGCGTCGTTGCTCTCTCTTCCTCTTTCGCCGCTGGTTTTCTGACCGAAGATGTCTGTTTTCGTCGGCGAGCAGCGCGGCACTATGCATGGCCATTTGACATCCTTTGATGAGCTGGTTTATGGCTTGTGAGACCGGCGTGCCCGCATTTTGTGGCCGGCGCTGAAGAAGTCCTTCCACGTGAGTGGTAAGCTGGCTAACATTGCAAGGTGTCTTGTGGGCTTCCAAGCTTTCTGGGGCTTGAGTGTGCTTGTCGCCGTCATCGTTGGCATTGTTGTTGCCATTCCTGTCAACCTGAACTAGTAACCGTGACAGAACCCGGGTCGGATTGAATGGGAAAGGCCTGTGGCCATGAATCCACTTCGGATGTTCGACGGGAGAGCGCTTGTCGGCGGGCCTCGATGTACAGAAGCAGGAAGTCCTCTTTATCGATGTGGTTGACCCCTGCGAGCATCTTCTCTTGAACATTCCGCCCATATATAGTTTTCAAAGGCGAAAAGCACCCGACATCCAGAGGCTGTAAGAGATGTGAGGAATGAGCTGGCATTTGGAGTACCACGATGGCATTGTCTGTACAGTACTTGTCGAACTCCGGCGTAACATGGCTGCCGTGCCCGTCGAGAATGAGAAGTCGGCGTGTTCCAACGGTACGGCGCCGTGTGTATGGGTCGAAAACCCTTCAACCAATGCAATCCAAGGTCGTCGGAAGTCCAACCTTTGTCGCTCACGGCAATCTGCCAGTCCTTGGGCACATCTGCCTCGTACCAGCTTGCTTGGTGCACCTTGCCCTGGAAGATGACCATCGCCGGCAAAGCCCAACCTTGGCAATTAATAGATTCAATTACGGTAACCCATTCTCGATTTCCTGGCTGCATGACCATAGGCCGACCTCGCCGGTCAGACCGAGTAAGGACTCTTGCCGACGCAATGACTCCCATTTGAAAACCCGTCTCATCGAAGTTGTAGACATCCTCATCAAGAATCCCCCATTTCTGTTTCGCCATTGCCACCCGATCGTACCATTCTTGCATCATCTTCGGGTCTTCGCATTTGGCACGTTGGTAATCGTATCGACGAGAGTATTTCGCCTTGATTTCGTCGTGGCGGCCAACGAACTTCCGCACCCAATTTTCGCCGACAGTTTCTTGGCAGCGCTCCGAAAGCAACAAGTTGGCCATGCGGCGAGTGTAGACCACTGTCGGCGGCATCCTCGCTCGTCCATCGACAAGACCCATTGTACGAGGGCAGTCTCTTCCGTCGCCGTCAACTTCCGGTTGTTCATCTGCGCGTCGCGTCGGGGCCGGGCACCGCGCAGTCGAGCAGAGACTGTCGATTGAGGGACATCGTATGCCGTCGCGGCCTTGTGGGCGCTGTCGAATTGGCCTTGCTGATAGGCCTTCACGGCGAGCAGGACCCGTTCTTCGCGTGGAATCGATTGGTCTCGAATTTCCGTCATGGTGGTCGGCCTGTCTCGCCATGAGGTGCGGGTCGCTTGGGTGGGGAATTTTGAGCAGGTAGGGGTGTGACCAGGAAGGGGTAGATTACGTTAGACTAATACCATTCCCACACCTGTCAATAAAAGGAAGAACGTACCAAATTTCTATGGTATCTGTCTAGATGCGGAGGACTTCATTATGTGGGGACATGGGCTCTACTGGCCCTACGCGAGAAGGAGGCTTTATAGGAGGGTCTCGGAAGACATTCGGACCGGGGTTACACGCCTCCCTTCATTCCTTCCTTCCTTCTTCTCCTCCTTCCCCTCATTCTTCTTCATCTTTTTCTCTTCTCTTCATAGAT